AACTGCTGGAGAAATTAATTCCAAATTTGAAATTCAGTTCTAATTAATGGATTCACGAATTTTAAAAAGGTATTAGGTTACATTGTGCTAAAATAATTAATTACGAGCTTTAAATTTTCTGTTAATTATTCATTATCGTATTACAGAATTCGTTATGAGTGATTGTGCTCGAGTAATTAATTCTAATCTGGAAAGTTTACCGGTAATTGATTCACGAATTTGTAAGTGTATTAAATTACGCGAACTTGAGGCTGCTAATTAGTAATTAACGTAAATTAATTATGAGGGACTGTGCTTCAGTAATTAATTCTAAGCTTAAAATTTACCGGTTATTAAATATTGATTAGGAATTTTAAAGTGTATTAGGTGGTAGAGTAATTAATTCCGAACATGCGATTCGCTGCTAATTAGTAATTAACATATTATAAAATTCATTAAGAGCGACTATGGTCGAGTAATTAATTCCAAAGTTGAAATTAAGTTGTAATTAATTAATGAACGATTTTTAGGGTGTAATAAGTTAGATATCGTTAGATTAATTCATCTCGAACTTGAGATTCGCCGACTATTAATTAATGTAGTATAAAATTCATTAAGAGTAACTGTGCTTGAGTATGTAATTTCAAATTTGAAATTCATCGGTAATTAATTGATTAACGAAGTGTGTTAGATTGCGCTAGCTAGAATAATTAATTCCGAACTTGAGTTTGCTGTTAATTGATAATTAAAGCATTACAAAAATCATGAGCGACTGTGCTGGAGTAATTAATTCAAAATTTGAAATTTTCCGTTAAATAATTAACAAACTTTAAAGTGTATTAGGTTAAATTGTGCTAGAATAATTAATTACGAGCTTGAAATTTTCTGTTAATTTATTCATTAACGTATTACAGCATTCGTTATGAGTGATTGTGCTCGAGTAATGAATTCTAATCTCGAAAGTTTACCGGTAATTAATTGATTCACGAATTTATAAGTGTATTAAATTACGCGAACTTGAGGCTGCTAATTAATAATTAATGTAAATTAATGATGAGCGACTGTGCTTAAGTAATTAATTCTAAACTTAAAATTTACCGGTTATTAAAAGTTGATTAGGAATTTTAAAGTGTATTAGGTGGTAGAGTAATTAATTCTGAACATGCGATTCACTGCTAATTAGTAATTAACATATTATAATCGACTATGGTCGAGTAATTAATTCCAAAGTTTAAATTAAGTTGTAATTAATTAATTAATGATTTTTAAGGTGTAGTTGGATGTCATTAGAATAATTAATCTCGAACTTGAGATTCGCTAATTATTAATTAATGTATTATAAAATTCATGAAGAGTAACTGTGCTCGAGTACGTAATTTCAAACTTGAAATTCATTGGTAATTAGTTGATTAGCGAAGTGTGTCAGATTACGTTAGAATAATTAATTTCGAACTTGCGTTTGCTGTTGATTGATAATTAAAGTATTACAAAAATCATTATGAGCGACTTTGCTGGAGTAATTAATTCAAAATTTGAAACTTTCCGGTAAATAATTAACGAACTTTAAAGTGTATTAGATTAAATTGTGCTAGAATAATTAATTACGAGCTTGAAATACACTGTTAACAACTAACATGTCACAAGATTTATTAAGAATGACTGTCCCAGAGTAATTAATTCTAGAAATTTACCGGTAATTAATTGATTATCGAATGTTAATTCCGAACTTGCGATTCGCTGCTAATTAGTAATTAATTTATTATAAAATTCATTAATAGCGAATAGCTCGAAATTTACCGGTAATGAATTGATTAGGTAACGAAATTTTAAGTGTCTTTGGTTTGAGTGCACTCGAATAATTAATTTCAAGCTTGAGATTCGCTGCTAGTATTAATAATTAGTTTACTATAAAATGCATTAAGAGCCACAGTTGTCGAGTAATTAACTTCAAAATTGAAATTTATCAGTATTTAATTGACGAAATTGATTAACGAATTTGAAGGCGTGTTAGGTTAGATTGCTCCAAATTAATTAATTCCGAGCTTGAGATTTGCTGCTAATTGAGGGGGAAATCAAATTTTGTTTACACTAAAACTAAAAAATTTAAAAAAATTCCAAAATATTTAAAAAATCTAGGACAATTTTTAAAAAATCTACAAAATGCTAGTAGTGTACACCAAAATCCTCCCTCCCGCAGAGTCAACCACTTCATTTTGTGTGCACTAAAACTAGAATTCTAAAAAATTCTAGAAACTTCAAAAAATTGTATAAAATAAGAATTGTGTGCATGTGCGTTCGGAAAAATTCTAGAAAAGTTCTTAAAAAATTCTACAAAATTTTAAAAACAATTTTAAAAAAATTTTACAAAATGCTAGTAGTGTACACTAAAACCCTAAAATTCTAAAAGAAATTCTAACAAATTCTAGAAAATATTATAAATCGTATAGAATGATTGTGTGCATGTGAGTTCGGAGGAGTTCTAGAAAAATTCTTAAACAAATTCTAAAAAATTACATTTCTAAAAAATTCCAAAAAAATCTAAAAATTGTTAAAAATTGCATAAAATAATAATTGTGTGTACATATGCGTTTGGAAATAATTCTAGAAAAGCTCTTAAAAAATTCTAGAAAATTAAAAGAGTTCCAAAATATGTAGGTATCTAAAAAGATTACGAAAATTCTAGAAAATTATAAAAAAATTCTATAAAAATGTTAAGCAATTCTAATAAAATCTACAACATGTTTGTAGTGTAGACCAAAATTCTACTACTCTAAGAAGGACGTTTCTCGAGTAGGTAATTAATTCCAAACTTGAACTTTACTGGTATTAATTAATTAATGAACTGTAAAGTGTTAGATGCGTTAGAATAATTAATTCCGAGTTTGAGATTCTTTGCTGATTAATAAGTACTGTATAACTAATTAATTCGTAGACAGGTAGAGTTCCTATCCTCATTGGTTGCATCGTCTTTCGGGCTTTCGCGTCTTCTTTTCACACTTGCCGTTATTTGAGAATTTCGTAGTGCGATATTAGAAGGAAGATGATCTAATAAAAATGTCTCGAATTGTATCAATTGATACCTACATCAATAAACAAATAGTTTGCCAAGTCACTGTTAAAAATAGCAAATAATATATTCTTGTTCTTATGTAATTTATTCAAACAACATTGATTGCTTACATTTATAATTAAAATCTACGTCGTTGATTTGATTTTCGGATTTTCTCTTCCTCCTCAAAGAAGGTTTTCATTACTCCCGCAGTAGCCTGTATAATCTCATCAAATTTAAATTGACAACTGGAAATTTTGACGGACACTCTCAATTGCGACCAGATGTGCGTTAATGAGAGGAAGCAAGATTCCTGGATGGTGAATCAATATCCGTGCAACAAAAAAACTACTTTATTCGTGTATCGTTCGAATTCTTGCAGTTTCTTCGAATCCTTTCCATTCCTACACCTGACTTGTTTCATTTCATCTCTTAATTCTACCATTTCAAGAAATTCTTCATTAATGTTTTCTATTCTTCAAACTCCTCTCCTCCAATTTTCTTCAATTAATATCATTATTTCTTCTTAATAGTTCTTTCTAATTTTTTTGATGTTTCCAATTCTTCAATTTCTCGAACTCCTCGATATCTTTTTTGAATTCTTACACTTCTCTGAGTTTTTAGGTTCTTCATACACTAAAAACTCTTCAAATTTATGATTTTTCTAATTATTCTTGTTCTTCGGATTCTTCAGATTTACAACTAAGATTCTTCATATTCTTCAGTTTCTGCGAAATTCAAATTTCAAACTCTTGGATTTCATTTTCTTTAAACTTTTTTGATTTTTCGAGCTTTCTTTTTTTCGGATTCTTCAGATCCACTTCACTTTCTGCACAGGTAGTTACTCTGACTGAATTTTCAAAATTGTCCTTTTTTGTATTCTGCAAACTTTTTTGATATTTTAAATTATTTTTCTTCTTCCTTTTTTACTGATTCTTCGTCCACAGTTAAGATTCTTCATATTTTTCAGTTTCTGTGAAAGCGCAAGGTGTTATTCTCACTGAATCTTCAAAGTCATCTTTGTTTCGTTTTCTTAAAATTCTTTATTTTTTAAATTATTTCTCGGTTTTTTTGGATTTCTCACATCCACAACTAAAATTCTTTATATTCTTCCGATTCTGCGCAAGTGCAGGGAGTTTTCTCATTGTACGAGTATGTACAGGGTGGCCAAATAAGAATGCGAGGTACTGTATCTGAGAACCTCTCCATCGTAGAGGCTTGCGGTAAAAAAATTTATACTAAAACGGCCACGAGAAAAACCTGGAAAATATTTGAAGTTTCTGCAATGGCCGCTAGGGGGCGTGACTGCAATCTGGAATCTAAAAAAGTGATTTTTCTGTGAATTCTGCTACATTAACGTAACAAAAAAATGTCCGGTCTTTGAAGTTGACGATAATCTGAATAATTTTTGTTTGACAATTTTTCGTGTACCTCTAAAAATGAAGTGGTGGAGGGTCTTCAAAGGTTTCCGTAAAGAACACTCTGTATCTTCCAAACGACTGAGCCAATTTTAAGAAACTCGGGTTAGTTCAAAAGAGCTATTCTTCGGATACAATATTATAATATTTGAAGTTTTGTTAATTTCACATATCGCCGCTTGAGGGCTTTTTTCGACATTCCGACAGAAATGGTTAATTTTCCCAAAAAAATTAAATGCGTTGGTTTGATTTTTTTTCATGAAAAAGTAGCTAAATGATGCCTAAATAAGCTCGCGAAAACCGCATCTCGATATCTTGTTCCTAACCTAAAATTTAGGCCAAAGAAAATTTTATACCCTCAAAATTTTAGTTTTTTAAGCTATTTTTTCGGGAATTATTTTTATTATATAATTTGTGGCCCTAAGGTCGATCGATTTAAAAAAGGAAGCTTTTAATGCCGCCGTAAATGTTCGAAATGCTGGCCATCGCACGATATAAAAAATATATATCTCAAGATATCGAGATGCTGTTTTCGCGAGCTTGTTTAGGCATCATTTAGCTACTTTTTCATAAAAAAAATCGAACCAATGCATTTAATTTTTTTGAGAAAATTAACCATTTCTGGCGGAATGCCAAAAAAAGCCCTCAAGCGGTGATATGTGAAACTAACAAAACTTCAAATAGTATATTTGTAGCTGAAGAATAGCACTTTTGAACTAACCCGAGTTTGTTTAAATCGGCTCAGCCGTTTCGAAGATACAGGGTGTTCTTTACGGAAACCTTTGAATACCCCCCACCACTTCATTTTTAGAGATACAGGAAAAATTGTCAAACAAAAATTGTTCAGATTATCGTCAACTTCAAAGACCGGACATTTTTTTGTTAGGTTAATATAGCATAATTCACAGAAAAATCACTTTTAGATTCCAGATTGCAGTTACGCCCCCTAGCGGTCATTTCAGAAACTTTAAAAATATTTTCCAGGTTTTGCTCGTGGCCGTTTTAGTAATAAATTTTTTTACCGCAAGCCTCTACGATGGATATATTCTCAAAATTGTCCTGTTTTTTTCATTGTCTGACTGAGCATAATGACATTAATTTTAATTTAAACACGCATTAAAATAAATGCTGAAGTAGCCCTTTTCTGTTCCAGATGTACTGTCGTGCTCTTTAATTCAGAAACTGGAGATCAAAGTCACATAATTAACACTAGCCGAAAAACAATCACTTCGTTAGCATTTTCATCATGCGGCAGATACCTTGTAACTGGTAAGCAATTTTTTTTGTCATTATTCTTACGGGTTAGACGGACTTACAATTTAGGAGAGTGTGGCCATCAACCCGCCGTACGCGTGTGGGATTTGCAGGCGGATCCCCAGCCCGGTGCTCCGGGTATCGCCCCCCAAGTGCAACAAGTCGCCGAATTTTTTTCACACAAGTACGGGATCAGCTGTGTTGTAAGTTTCGAGACCGATTCGGTGTTTTAATATTAAGCTGTTTGACCGTAGGCATTTTCACCGAGCGGTAAATACGTCGTAAGTATCGGAACTCAGCATGACATGATTGTCAACGTTTGGGATTGGAAAAACAACATCAAAGTAGCGAGCAACAAAGTCAGCACGAAAGTAAAGGCGCTCGCATTCGCCGAGAACGGTAGTTACTTCGTGACCGTCGGTAACAGACACGTAAAGTTTTGGTTCCTTGAATACGGTAAAGCTAAGGTACGTTGTGACGGTGAAATTATTTGCGCTGATCACTCTTTTTAGTACAAAGAAGCGGTTCCTTTAATGGGTAGATCGGCGATTTTAGGGGAACAGCGTAACAATTATTTTTGTGATGTAGCTTGTGGAAAAGCCCAATGCGGTGATAGCACGTATGCGATCACCCGTTCGGGGTTGCTTTGCGAGTTTAATAATAGAAGACTGCTTGATAAGTGGGTTGAGCTTAGAGTGAGTAGTCACAACGTCGGCGCAACGCATATACTTATATATTTTCAGACTTCAAGTGCCAATTGTATAACTGTAGGTAAAACATACATATTTGTCGGCTGTGCTGAGGGAATTGTACGGTGTTTTGATCCTACCACCCTTAGGTTTGTTACAACTCTTCCAAGAACACACTATTTAGGGGTAGATGTTAGTCAAGGTTTAAACATTACGTAAGTGAAACATTGCTCTCGCACGGTAATAATTCAATGGTCGACAGGCACATGTCGTCCCCTCCTCCTGATGCCAAATACCCCGACGCCATCGCAATCACCTATGATGAAACTAATAAAAAATTAACGTGTGTCTATAATGACCACTCTATTTACGTTTGGGATATACACAACATTAGGAGGGTATGTATGCACCCGAAAATTTCGAAGTAAATTTTTAAATTGTCTCATCCAGGTAGGAAAGTCTCATTCGTTTCTTTACCATTCCGCCTGTATATGGGGAGTGGAAATGTCACCTTCGCACTGTCCTCTGCCACCCGGTAGTTTTTTAACTTGCAGTTCCGACGATACGATACGCGTGTGGACTTTAGATAAATTAAACGACAAAAATGCGCGCGGAGTGTATCAACGAAATATTTACAGCAATGTAAGTCGCTTGGGACCCATAACCTGTTAAAAATTGCAATTTATAGGAGTTGCTGAAAGTCGTGTACATCGATTCGGATATGACTTACTTGAAAGATTTGGACATTTCCACGAGTAATGCCGGAAATGATAAGCAAGATAGCTCGTACGACGGACGTAACGGCGTCAGAGCAATTCGGTTGAGTCCCGATGGTAAACAGCTGGCGTCGGGAGATCGAGCAGGTTCTTATATAACTCTATTATGCCCTCTTATATTATGTTTCAGGCAACATAAGGATTCTCGAAACTAAAGGTATGACGGAAGATTTTAAGATTGAGGCTCACGATGCGGAAGTGTTGTGCTTGGAGTACTCCCAAATAGACTTCGATAAGAAACTATTAGCAAGTGCTAGTCGAGATAGATTAATACACGTATTCGACGTGAATAAGGTAAATACATTTCGTCTGTTAAATATTTGGCGCCCAACATGGGGCCTACAAGTTAATTATTTGGCGCCCTACGTGGGGCGGGTTTCATGGGTGTTTAAGGGTGGGAAAAAAGGACGTTTAAAAAAATCGACATCTGGCAGATGTAAATATCTGTTACCAAAAGCTCTTTTATTCTTTTATTTCCCCTTCAACCTCCCACGGATATTAACATTGTAACTTCTAGAATTCTTTTCGATGAGACAAATACCATGAAGGGCAGATCACCTTCCCCCCAACCTAATTTAGAACTCTAGGACAATTCCTCTAAAGTAGTTTAAAACCACAGGAGTGGATCCGGACAGAGAAATTACAAACAAAAGTAAATTTTTTAAATTAAAAAAATGCCCTGCAAAGTGAAGCATCTGAATAACTCAAGCAGAAGAATTAAAAGGAAGAAACTAAAAAAATCTTGAAGATTTTGAGGAATTTTGATAACTGGAAGATTTTGAAGAATACATATATGGAATATGATGTATTTAAAGATTAAAAAAATGGAAGAATCTGAAAATCCATAGAGAAGAATTCGAAGAATGAAAAATCCAGTAAATTAAAACATTGGAAGCCTATTTGAGGTATATGAATAATTTTTAGTGATGCAAAGATTAAAAAAATCGAAAGGACTGAATGAAGAAACTTAAGGGCCTCTGTAGCATTGTAGAATTTGAAGAATATGAAAAATTGATAGAATTCGTAGAAGACTCCCGACGTGATTTAAACTAACCAAATTTTGAAAAACGTTAAGAAATGGAAGAAAGAATTTGAGCAGTGAAGGATTTAAAGAATTCAAAAATTAGGAATATCAATATATATCCAGATTTTTGAACAATTCGATGTATTGGAACAACCTGCGCGTTCCATAGAATTTAAAGAATGTTTAAGATATCGAATTTCATGATTTTTGATAATGTACAGGGTGGCCAACTAAGAATACTGTATCTGAGAATCTATCCATCGTAGAGGATTGCGGTAAAAAAATTTATTACTAAAACGGCCACGAGCAAAACCTGGAAAAGTTTCTGAAATGACCGCTAGGGGGCGTAACTGCAATCTGGAATCTAAAAAAGTGACGTTTCTGTGAATTCCGCTATATTAACCTAACAAAAAAATGCCCGGTCTTTGACGATAATCTGAACAATTTTTGTTTGGGGGGGGGGGGGGGGGGTATGCAAAGGTTTCCGTAAAGAACACCCTGTATCTTCGAAACGGCTGAGCCGATTTAAACAAACTCGGGTTAGTTCAAAAGAGCAATTCATCAGCTACAAATATTGTAATATTTGAAGTTTTGTTAGTTTCACATATCACCGCTTGAGGGTTTTTTTCGACATTCCGACAGAAATGGTTAATTTTCTTAAAAATATTAAATGCATTGGTTCGATTTTTTTTCATGAAAAAGTGGCTAAATGATGCCTAAATAAGCTCGCGAAAACAGCATCATCGATATCTTGAGATATTTTTAAATCGTGATGGCCAGCATTTCGAGCATTTACGGCGGCATTAAAAACTTCCTTTTTTAAATCGATCAACCTTAGGGCCGCAAATTATATAATAAAAATAATTCCGGAAAAATTAGCTTAAAAAAATAAAATTTTGAGGGTATAAAATTTTCATTGGCCTAAATTTTAGGTTAGGAACAAGATATCGAGATGCGGTTTTCGCGAACTTGTTTAGCTACTTATTCATGAAAAAAAATCAAACCAACGCATTTAATTTTTCTGAGAAAATTAACCATTTCTATCAGAATGTCGAAAAAAGCCCTTAAGCGGCGATATGTGAAACTAGCAAAACTTCAAATATTATAATATTTGTAGCTGAAGAATAACTCTTTTCAATTAACCCCAAGTTTGATAAAATCGACTCAGTTGTTTCGAAGATACAGGGTGTTCTTTACGGAAACCTTTGAACCCCCACCACTTCATTTTTAGTGATACAGGAAAAATTGTCAAACAAAAATTGTTCAGATTATCGTGGACTTCAAAGACCGGATATTTTTTTGCTAGGTTAATATAGCGGAATTCACAGAAACGTCACTTTTAGATTCCAGATTGCAGTTACGCCCCCTAATTTCAGAAACTTAAAAAAGTATTTTCCAGGTTTTTCTTGTGGGCGTTTTAGTAATAACTTTGTTTACCGCAACCCTCTACGATGGACAGGTTCCCAGATATGGTACCTCGCATTTTTATTTGGCCACCCTGTACATTATTTTAAGGACGTGAAGATTTAAATCACGTGAGAAATAAAAAAACCCTCTTTGCATCTGAGAAATTTGAAAAGTATGAAAAATTCTTACTAACAAAAGAATTTGAAGCATATGAAAAATTAAAAAAAATGGAAGAATTCGAAGAAATCTGAAGAAGAAAAATTATGAAGATTTGAAGGGTACAAAAAATAGGAATATTTAAAAGAAATGACAAATCTGAAGAATCTCAGGTCTCACGAATTTGAATATGGACAATACACAAAATGAGAATAATTAAAAAATGAATTTGAAGCACGTAAGGAGAAGAAGTAAAAACAGTCGAAGAATCAGACTGAAAACTAAAAAATGTGAAGAAGAATCTCGAGACATTGGAGAATTTGGAAAATATAAATATTTTGAAGATTAAAGAATCTTGGTTAGGGATCCCGAAGAATTCGACGTACCGCAGGAGAAGAAATGAAAAAATTCGATGCCTCAAATGATATTGAAGAATTTGAAAACAGATCGATATACATTTGAAGAAACATGAAAAATGGGGATGATTCGAAAATGAAAAAATCTGAAAAATCATGGTCAAGGATCTCGAGAGTTTGAACAATTAGAGTGTGAAATCTGAAGAATTCAAAATAAAGAATTTGGAAAATATTAACACTGTGAAGAACGAGAATATGAAAAACAATCGAGATTGAAAATCATGAAAAATGGGATAATTAAAAAATGAAAAAATTTCAAAAATCTTGGGTAGGCTCAAGAGTTTGAAGAATTGGAAGAATTCAAGGCACTTAAGAATAATTGGAAGAATCATAATCCGAAAATTCAAAAATTTGGAGTATACAGAGATGAATGTAGAAGATTTGCAGAATGTTGTTTAGAGTTTGAAGAATTGGAAGAATTCAAAGACTTTTAAGATATTGGTTTAAAAATGAAAAATATAAATACTGTGAAGAATGACTGTTTTGCAGAATCTTGGTTATGGAAGAATTTCGGAAACTTGAAGGATATGAGAAATGCGTTTTTAAAAAATTGAAGAACCTTAAAAATTCACGCGTATGATGAAGCTCAATTTGAAAGAATTGGAAGAATGCAAAAAGTGAAGAAGGATTTGAAGACTATTTTGGGAATGTAAAGAATCTGATGCCTCTGAAGCATCCGACGCCTTTGAGGAATCCAGGAAACTAAAGAATCAAGATTTTGATTTAAAAAATACTAGAAATATGAAGTATTCAAAGATTTTGCTCCATGGTATATGGAGAATTGCAAGGATTTGAAGCAACGGAAGACCTTAAAGTATGGAAGAATTTCAAAAATTGGAAGAATTCCTTTTGGTAAGTTTCAAATGTGTACTGACTGATTTAAGGTGAATTTGATGAAAATGAAAAATAAAAAAGTTCTGCATTTGACGAATATGAGAAATATAAAAGGTTGGTAGATTCTGAAGAGTCCGAAGCATGTGGAGAATTGGACCAGAAGAATTTGATGACTGAAAAAAGTGAAAAGAATCTTATGATATTGAATAATTTTGAAGATGGAAAGTTGTCTGACTACTTGTCCTTGACAGTGACTTTGAAAAATTATGTGAAGGTGACATTTGCGTTTCAAGGTTATTTAAGGTCATACCAAAATGGGTGTCAATGTATAAGAGCTGCTTACGAACCGTTGCAGAGCGGCGCCGCTGGTAGCGAAATATTGCTTTATATGGACGCCTTCACAAGGATCGGCGCGTCTGCGCAACTTGTAGCGGAGGTCTTAAAATTAGTTCTGCAATCTATCAAGAGGAAGCGCTGAGATCGGCAAGATCTCTTGGGGTTTTAAACCATAGATATATAAATACCTAGATACAGCCATCCTTAACAAACGTACCTCGGTTTTTAAAAAACATATCAAAGAAATTTGTACATCTCTCCATTACTTTCTAACCAAGAAGAAACATGTTCTATCTCATTTTATTGCATTAACCACTACGTCGTACGCGAATCGGACGCTTAAAACAAACTTAGCGCGTCCCATAAGTCATGTGACAGTTGACACATTTCACGATCGCGCGAAATCAAATCTAACTAAAAATATTCGCCCTAAACATGATGGACGGTTTTTTTCACTAAATATTATGTAATTATTGCGTTATCAAATGTATATGAATAACATTAGTGCTTGCCATAATGATAGACGCGTTCATAATTGTTATTCCTGAAATAGTTTTATTACATAGAGCTACGCCATTTAAATTTGGGACTATGTTTACGTTGTTTGGCATGATGTGCTGCAGTGAATTCATTGCTGGCTTGCAGAATATCAAAAAAACCGTAAGTAAGTAAAGTTTATGTTCAACATTTTAATTTCAATTGCATGGTTTTAGGCGTAATGGTAACGGAGATTAAGTTGCGACAGGAAGTGAATTCGTTTCCAATTATCATTTTGGCCTATATAATGTTGATGCAGTGCGTTTGTATCATGATCACAGGATCCGTGCAATATTCTTAGGAAAACGAGATTTATAGACTGTGTGTGCGTGCAATATCAAATTTTTTATCGCTACGCGTCTTGCCTACCTTTCGGCATATGTCCAATCGGTGGGGTTTCTTTTTGAAATTATAGTGCTAATTGTAGTAAGCAAGCTACACGTGTACATTTATTTAAAATAAATACAACATCTTAACAATGATATCCAATTGGTGATAATACTCATTTAGCGAACATTCATTACGTTTCTAAAAGTTCACAATCCGAATAATCGTCAGATGAAATTGACAAATCCGAATCATCACTGCCATTATTAACACTTATTATAAAGTTCAGAAACATCAACCAATATAATTTCTCTTTTAAATTAATCACTTTCCACATGTTCACACACTTTCTTCGAGTTGTCAGCTGTAATTTTTTCAAATTCTTCATTTGCCAGCTTTCTAAGTAACATCTTCCATTTTAAATGTAACATTTCTTGCTGCTATGCGATTTAAATAAATAAAAAGGCGGTTTATTTATGTTGTAAAGTCTCAAATCTGATAATTTTCTGTGTGACTTGTGCGAACAATTTGATTGACAGTTATAATAAATAATGCGAATCTTGTCTTCCATGCTCAGGGTACCTCTATAAAGGATAGCGCTATACGTAATTAATGTGCCGAAAGTGATGGTAATAGATGGTACGTCCTTTTGAACTATGTTGGGGTATGGCTGTATCTATGTATTTATATATCTATGTTTTAAACATTACTTTGTCTTTGAAATTGGTTCCGCTAGGGGCTTAGGAGATGACCTTGACGGGAGTTGGAATTGAGCTAGGAAAACGGATTATATATTTGTAGAGCTCGATAGATGGCGCTTCGAATACCTAAGCTTTCTATTTGCAGGGTTACGACTTCTTGCAAACGCTAGACGACCATTCGTCGTCGATTACGGCCGTTCGCTTTTTAAACACCCACGGAAATTTACAAATGGTCTCTTGTGGCGCGGATAAATCTTTAATCTTTCGATCCTTGAATGACGTAAGAAGCGCGAGTATATCGCTCTTTCGGACACTGATGACTAATTCCAGACATCTGCCGGCATCCCTCAATTCGTGAGGGATCACAACGCGACGGGAAAGACGACATTGTACGACATGGACGTCGACAGCGGTCAGAAGCACGTGCTGACCGCGTGTCAAGATCGCAACGTTAGAATCTACAGCGTGAATACGGGTAAACATACGAAGATATTTAAGGGTAGCACGGGTGATGATGGTACGCTCATAAAGGTATGCTGTAATTGGTAAACGCCAGGCGATAAAATTGAGATTTACAGATCAGTTTGGACCGCTCGGGCATTTATTTGGCAACATCCTGTACTGATAAGTCTCTGTCGGTCTACGACTATTATACCGGGGAATGTATGGCCACCATGTGTGGACACTCGGAGCTTGCAACAGGTTTGAGATTCACCAACGATTGCCGCCGGCTGATTTCTGCGAGCGGAGATGGGTTTGTAGTTCCACCACCTGAAGATAGAATTCTATGTTGTTCATTGACAGGTGCATCTTTGTATGGCGGGTGCCTCATGACATGGTGGTTACGATGCACGCGCGTCTCAGTCAGCAGGCGATGCGTCAAGGAAAAACGTTAGACAACGAACTGTTCACCGACCACAGCAGCGCAGATTTCTACGATACCAACGCGAATAGCGTCGAAAATGACTACACGTACGCATGCGTCGGAGTGTTCCACCTGTTAAAGTTGTGATACTTTCAGATTTTCGGTCGGCGCGCTACCTCTTTGGGCGAAGAAGCACATCTCGGACGATTCCACGCTGCCCACTTCGCTAATGAAGGGAGTAGCGGCACCGAAAGGTCGCTGGGCGCAAAGAGCCGAAAGAAGCATCGGTATGAAGTCCATTTATACAGACTCCATTATTTCTTTTCCATCTTTGCATGGTAAGTGTAAGCGCAACCTGCAGTGTTATGTGCTTGATTGTATGCCTGTCTTTGCATCTCTAATCCCTCACTTGCCAGATTTTACAGTCAAGCAAAGAATAAAATAGCTTTAAAGAGTAAATGTGCATCAAATTTCTTCTATAATACTTCAGTGGGATGACAATTACAAAAATGTATTCCGCAACACATCAAAGGATTAAAACAAAATCTCTGCAAGAAAGAAAAGCTTACAATGCCTGTTTGGACATAATTACCCCGCACGCAGACGGTCGACAATTAAAATATAACATCTTAAAATTATTCAGTTTTTTTTCGCAATAACCTAAATAATCTGGTCGTACAAGGTTTGCTTGTTTTTACTAGGCATACTAAAACTGGCACAAAAATATTAGCCGACAGGTTCAGGATATTCACTTGTTTTTGATAACACTGAACTTGGCTTGCTGAGTAGATGAACAAATTTTCGGTGGCTGTTCGAACGGTAGAAACTTTTAACTTTTGAGAAGAAGAGACCTCAAGGAAACGCCTCACTACCTCCTTTTTACGCGGGCCAGATGGCGCCCTTAATTAAGGATATTTCAAGCTAGCAGTTCTACTTTTCGAGTAATTCGCGAAAAACGCATTTTTGAAGTTTCTTTAAAGGTAATGAATTGGAATTTTGCTAAATGAGTCATAAATTGGCGTACTGTCATAAATAAAACTAAATACTGTAATGTACCCAGGCCGCCCCCGAGGGACTGCGCAACCCAAGATCTAAAATTCAAAACTTTCCCTCCCAAACTAACTGAACCCCATGGCACGTGATCGTCTAGACAAAGCTACCTAACCTGAATAACAAAATAATAGGACCACTTACTACGTTGTGTTTTCAAGAGTCGCTACAAGATATGTGTTGTCTGTCGGAGTGAGGTTCAAGTAAGGAATGCAAATAAAACAAGTACCTACATGCTTTATAAAAACGGAGATTTAATCCAAATAATTCGCATTGCAAGATTAAATTTAGGAAATGGTAGTTCACCGAGTACAAATATAACAATAGGCTGGGAAAAAAAGAACTGACCAAGAAAAAAACCAGCCAACAAATTAATATTCAACTTTATAGCAAAATGAATTGTCTGTAATCGCATGAATGCAAATTAGGATGGTTGTCAAGTAAATTAGGATAATGTTGAATCACAGGCTCCGCTGGAATTCCTAAAGAATCAATATTTCACACACATAATAAAAAACAATCATTAAAACATTACAATAAATTCATATAATAGGTTTGGATATTGGATGGCCAGTCCTAATCCCACACCGAGTAGTCTTTAGTTGCTCTGGTCATGACATGTCAACACTGTATGAAATCGCTAGGAGTTGGCCTCTCAGAAGAGCCTTTCACATAGGAAGGATACCCCAAATTGATAACACAAACAAAAGGTCACAACGAGAACACGCCGTACGCTTTTAGCGAATCCCTGCGCAAGTGAGGCCGGGCTTAGCCGGCAGCCCATGTACAACTAAGCGGGACCCCAACTTTTTCATTCACACATCTCCACACAGTCCAACCCACTAGTTATAAAGTGCGGGGTTATAAATTACCGAACTCCAGGCTCTCTACCATGAGTACTGACAGTAACCGATCAAAAGACAAATCATGACATAACAAAAATCACAGAGCAACCAACCGCAAACTTGCACGCAACCATAATCATAAACAAAATATACAGAATTTATGTAGGCGTTGACAGTTGACATATTTGCACAGGCATAACAAAGACGGACACAAAACCAATATTCAGCCACTGTCAGAGATCGACTAATCGGATTGATTAGCAATACCGGCAAGATGGCTCTTTTCAAAGACACAAAAAAACATAAAAAGCATAAAGATATATCTCTGCGTATGTCAGTTCTGAACTTTAGGCAGCCTCTGCTACGCCAATGGAGATATTAAATATCGGTATCAAATATCAATCTCAAATATAGCACAGTACATATTCGAAACAAGTCGCCCTGCCAAATATTAATAATCATAATCACCCGGTTCAAATAAATAGTAGGAGCATAACGTTATATGTATCACAGTACAACAAAAACAAAGAAACATGCCGTGGCAAAACATTAGTATAAAGTAATTAATTTTCAATGCCAAGTGCAATATGTAACAATCAACCACCTAACGTACGTCACTCTCCTCCAGATGAAGCACCCTGTAAATAAACAGTAACATATTCAGGCAAACAAAAGCGAAATGTGCTGCAATAAATTCGATTATAAATTAAAATGTAGTTCTGCATACTTGTATTGAATATCGCCCCTAAGGGAACATACAGTATCTAAATATAAATAAAACACGTAAATCGGTCAGTAATTCATGTAGCCAGCGCTTGGAACAAAGGAGTACTGTAAATTGGAAACCAACATATTTATGTAGAATCCCTATGCATTTAATTCTTTCAAAGTATGACCAGTATAATTAAAAGTGCAAGTTGTATCTAGAATGTGTCGTAAATGGTAATAATCATGCTGTACGAGAATAACATTAAATTGGCAAATAATCGAACACGTACATATCATTATTAGATGGATGCAATAGACGTAGAGATAAAAAAACGAGTACATCACCTTTGTAATTGCCAAAGCTGCACTCACCATTCGCAACGTAAAAATTACTTCTGCCCTCAACAACAGCACAAATACCTCTGCCTAAATTTTCCCTTTTCAAACAAATCCTAGACGAAAATTGTTAATATTGACCGTGCTCCAAGACGTCGGGTCGATAGGGATCATTAAGTTCCATCGCATAGCGTTATATTTGACACTTTTATTATAAATTATGGCCCATTTCAATGTAGAGCAGAGAAGAAGAAAAAACACTTGTTCCACGGAAACGAAACAAAGCGCCATCTTGACTTTTTTCGTCGCGCCAGGGTCGGTTTCGGGAATATTTAAATCGAATTTTAGCGGGCAAATTCGGTTCCATTACAATACCCCTAATGAAAACCTCTGAACGTGAGATAAACGCTCGCCATAGATACTCGCCTCAACATCCTGAAGTAATTAAAAAACAAAAGGGTAATTAAAAACAATAAATGTACGGTTTTTGAACTGCAATCATCATACCAAGACCAATATTTGCATGGAAATTAATTTAGAACCGCCCATTTTAAATATTTTTACGATCAAAAAACAAATCCAAATCCTTTTACCACAAGTTCAACTCGGCGTTCCACTTAAACAAGCCACGCCCATTTTTGACTTGTGAAGTTACAGTTACTTTGCGCCCTTTTTTTACCCATGAACCAATGTAACTTCGAGGTGCGATTACACCATTAAAAATAGTCGGCACTAGTAGGTTTAAGTGCTACTGGTTTTGGTGTTCTTTAGTAGATCCCTTGACTCGCAAATTTATTTCGAAATCCGCCAAAAGGTCCTTACTACCAGACTGAAAGTCCTCAAAGTTTGTCGCCACGGTTTTTTGAGGTAATAAACGTAATCCTCGAGCAGTTCGTTCATTGAATGTTGGCGTTCATCAATTGCAACCGTTCTGTGCTGCACCTCTAAACTTCTAGTGTAGGTGCCTATGCTCGATTGGTGAAAATTAGACTGGAAATTCGATCATACTTTACAGTAACTCCCGGTAGAAAGCTACGAGAAGCGGAAGAACAGTATGGCACATCATTTTAGAGATGCATGTTTACGCCCATCCTTTTCTTAAAGCATGTGTTTTTGAAATATACCTAGTAATTATGTTTGCATCCAAAATCTAATTTCTTTACAGATAGGAGAGGCGACTCAGACAAAGACAGTTCTTTAGACAGCGGTACCGAAACAAAACAATCGTTGGAGTTAATCAGAGATTCGAAAATAACCACTAAACAGGTACTCGGACTTCGAATAGTTTTTTTTCTTGGGAACTAAGTTTTTTTGTAGGTAACCATAAATAGCCTTACCTCGAGGGAATTTCGCAGGAGCAACTTGACCGATGACAGCGCCGTCGGTGGTTCTGTGCGTGACACCGACATCGAATCCACGGCGCACGACGCAGACATCGATTCCGATCAAGAATATCGCCATCAGCCCCTGTATTATCCTTCGCAAGTGGATTCGGCCAGGTATTTTTCTTCAATCGCGCAACACTGCTAACGCAATACTTACAGCGGGAGTGAATTCACAATCACCAACATGGACGCCGACGAATTGCGAAAATCGCAACGAAAGAAAAGAGGCAACGTCCCCTCCATTACCATACAACCAATTTCAATATCGGGCAGTCAGGATTCAGACGACGACGATGACGAAGTATCGACGCCCAGCGGGGAGAACACAGACAGAAATCCAATGTCGATCCTTTCCGTTAGTTCGGAGTCTTTAGATCAAATAGTCAATCGCGAGAAATATCTGCAGTCGACGTTCGAGAGTCTTAGCGGGGCGGAGGTGGAAACGTCACCAGGTAATTTTCGCTTTCTTTCTGTTACATTTTTATACAAACAGAAATAATAATAGAAACACATTTAACAAAAGATTGAAGAAAATTCGGAAAATTAAAAAATCAAAAGCAAAAAATTCTGACAAACAAATTGAAGAAAACGGTACTCAAAAGTGCGGAAAGTTTGAATAAATTCCGAAAATTCTAAATATTCAGAAAATTCAGACAAATTTGAAAAATAGTAGACAAACATTATAATTCGCATAACTGAAAGAAATGACTAAAAATGTTAAAAATTAGCAATTTTCAAAAAATAATGTCTAATGTTGAGGTAGAAATAATTGAATAATATAAACAAAATTTTAAAAAATTTGAAGAAATTAAAAAAAATAAAAGCAATAAATACTATAAAATTCAGAGGGGACAGACGGGAAAATAACTATAAAATTTAAATTCGGAAAAATCAGCTCCTAAAAATTCCGAAAATAAATATATAAAAAACAATAAAAAAAAGTAAATTATAATAATGTATTTCAATTCAGAAAAAATTTCAAAATTCAGAAAATTGGAAAGGATCGCGTAAATATAAGGGAATAGAAAGTTTCAAAAAAAGTGAGAAATCAGAAATTCGCCAGAATTTTAAAAAAAGTTAAAAAATACGTCAAGTGTACAGGGTGTCCCATTTTCGACTCCGTAATTGTTGATGATCATTTTGGATCATGCTTAAAATTGTAAAATTAAAATTTAAAAATATTCGCTCGCTAGAGAGATACGGGGGAAAATCAAAAAATGTCAATTGCACAATGCCAAAACGAAAGAGTCGATGACTATTTCCGAAAAATGATGTTAAAATCGGTGTGAGGGGGTTTAAAACCACCCAGCAAAGAAGGATGCCTTAACAGTTTCCCTGTTCACCTTACTACCCTTATGGCGATATTCGCGAAACGAAAACTGTCGTCTATTGGGGTTATTCTATACCCCCAGACCCCCTGGTAAGACCTTCCACAAACTGTTTTGCCTTCGAGACTTTCATGACTGCGGTTCGAGAAAGATTTTGAGATTTTGTCTGAATTTCAAAGAAGGTAGTACCGAGAGATCGAATACTCCCCAGCAAAACGAAAGAGTATGACTTTCCAAAAAATTGTGTTAGAACCTCAGTACTCCTATGACAAGGTTCGCAATTGGTCTCTTTTTTAGACATTGGTCTCTTTTTTCAATGCTGGTCTCTAAAAGTCTCTATTTTTCATATTTGGTCTCTAAAGTCTCTAAATTTTGCATGTTAAAAAAGTATAATTCATAATTGATAAACTGCAGAAATGTTACAGGAGAATGGTAGGTAGTCCTGGCGTAGGTACCCTATACTTTGAAGGTGTGCCAGACGGCCACCAAATTTCGCTGTCTAAAAGGCCCCCCCCCCCCCACGAATTATTTCCTGAGATGCTGTTTTTGAAAGTAAAACGTGCATAACTTTTACATACGACAACCAATTGATCTCAACGAAAGGAACCGTTTTCTACCAACTACTGCTCTTTTTTCTGTCCTCTTATCAAAGTACGGTGAGGAGGGGAAGGGGGGGGGTGGAACTAGTTTTATCCTTCATGGTACTCTAATGAAAGGTCTCGACGAAAGGAATTAATTTCTACCAACCATAGCCCTCCTCCTCGACCTCTTATCGCGATCGGGTATATTCCCTTATACCTCGAGAACGGATTGTCGGAAGAGGGTACTCACATAGGGCCATTGGGACGTCTGCAAGAAGTATATCCATTGGTGATGTCAAAATAAAGCTATTTGGGTTAAAAAAAAATGCGTTTTATCCTCACAAGAGTTGTGCACAACTTATACTTGTTTAGATATATTGCCGTTTATGTATCTCATCTATTACAAAATAAATATTTTTTGCTTAACTTTGTATGGAAATTGGTTCTCGAAGGTCTCTAAATGGTCTCTATTTTTAAATATGTAATTAGAGACCAAGTCTCTATTTTTTTGCTAAAATCAGTTGCGAACCCTGCTATGATGATATTTGAAAAACTATAAGCAGAGAGGAGGGGGTTGAAAACCACTCGGCAAAATACAATTTTTAACAGTTTCCCTTCTGGCGGTGTTCTCGAAGTGGCGATAAATCTGTCATCAACCCCCCCCCCCCAGGCTGCCGCTAACACCTTCCACAAATCGTTTATGCTTTAAAACTTTCATGACTGTTGTTGGGGAAGGATTGTAAGATCTTCTTAGAGGACGTAGTACTGGTGGGGGTTAAGGTAACACTTCAGTACTCTTATGATGGTATTCTGAAAACGACAATGGAACTGTCGTGTACTGGAGGGGGGGGGGGTAAAACGTATTACCGGTGGGTACCCCCAGCGAAATGAAAGAGTCAGATTATTATTTCCAAGAAATGTTGTTTAGTAGCGGTGGGAGGGGGTTCAAGTTGTTGGGAAGGATTATGAGATCCTCTTCTCCGTATCGCAGAAAACATAGAACCGGAGTGTCTGGAATATCCCCCCAGCAATCCATAAGCATACGGGGCCAGGTCAAAAAGTTATTGGACCTAACCTCATTTTTTGAAATGGAACACCCTGTATATTTTAATCTAAAAAAATGCATATTCAATTCTCTTAAAAAATGTACCTAATACACAATAATATCACTTATAATTGTCAATACTCGCACCGTAGCCTGAGTCACTATGCTCATTCAGGTGTCTGTGTGGGTGGCTCTGGCACCTGATCCAAGAAAAACCAGAGTGATTTATATGCGCAAACTGTGCAATGTCAACTTTCTTATTTATGGAAATCTTTTTAGCGCATTTTCGAACTTTCTCTGTCCGAGGGCTTAACTACTCCTACAGTTTTCAAGTTATTAAGTTCGTTCTTTTTGCATTCGGTAGCGTATAGCTCTAGCACCTGAGCCAAGGAAAATCTTGACAATTAAACTGGGCATGCGCAGACTGCGCAATGTTAACTTCCTTATTTATGGAGGCATTTCTTTGAAATTTTATCCAAAGATGCTTTTAGTGTAAACAAACATATCGCATATTGTAAACATCAGATTAATATGCGCAGGCTGCGCAATGTCAACTTTTTTATTTATTAATATACTAGCTGACCCGACGGACGGTGTCCTCTTTCTTAGCTATGAATACCTACCTATTCAATTCGGACTGGAATAAATAATTACAAAAAATAATTTCAAAAAATTTGCTGTGGCTAGTTATACAGGTACCAGATTTTGACATACTTGCTCCAAAATCTCTCAATCTCTCCCCAAAATAATAAAAAATAAACGCACTAACTTCTAGTTGCTTTTGGAGATTCAGAGCTACCAACGTACCTTTTTTTTTGTTGCGCCAAATGCTGTAATTTGAAAGCAATTATTGTATTTCTGGATATGAGTCAAAAAATGTATAGAATCTGGCCCATTTCCGGTGGCGGTACCAATGGCGTCAATTTCACTTGGCCACTGCCGCAACATAATCCCGGGGATTCAGTAGCTTTGCAAAGTGGACACACAAAGTTCTTTGGTCTAATAGCAATGATTTACTGTAAACTGTAATCGATTGCTACGTTATAATTAAATGCAACTCGACAGGGATTAAAATTAAATTAAAATTCAACTGAAAATAGAAATTGACTCCTGTTTCTTGTATAATTATGTACCTATACCACGTGTTTATTCTATCAACACTTACCAAAAATGGATATTGGCGAGGATATTGGGTATATCAAACTTTTAATACAAAAGGCGTTATTGCGGTGAAATATCCTCGAAACTTCTCAAAACACTCACTGAAATCTGGATCAACTATCTGATCGAATTGACAGCACACTATGATATGAATAAATTAATTTTTTGACAGATATATGCCGATCCATTGTCGATCGATGTAGCTGTTAAAACAATTGCCGTCGCATCGTCAAACGCGCGTAATTTAAATAGTCGTTAAGTTTTCTCCAATTTTCTGCGCGATTTTCTTAGTTTTTCTTTCCATAAGAACCTTCTACAGAGTATTAGAAAACTTAAAAAAAAGGTCAATGAAATCGGTAAAGTCGTTCTAAAGTTATTGTGTGACCAAAAGAAACAGGGGTTCATTTTTATATATAGAGATTTTGTCGATATTTTAATCACAGATATTTCTGGTGAAGGCAAACATATCGCGTATAGTAAAAATCATATTTGCGCATGCGCGGACTGCACAATGGCAATTTTCTTATTTATGGATATATTTCTTTCAAATTTTAATCAAAGTTGCGTCTCGCATATTGTAAACATTAGATTAATGCGCGCTTGCGCAGGATGCGCAATATCAACTGTTATTATCGAGATATCTTTCTGAAATTTTTATCACAGATGCTTCTGTTAAAGGCAAACATAACTGAAAAATTAGATGTGCGCATGCGCAGTCAAGATATTTCTTTGAAATTTTAACCATAGATGCTTCTAGTAAAGAAAAACATAGCGCACGTAGCTATGACCTTTTGGGAAGTCCTGATCAATTCATGGAAAATGCGCTGAAGTTACTCGCCTTAGGGCGAAAAACTTTTTACTTGTTTTTTAAATTCAATCCAAAAGTTATTGATGTACAATTCAATGTCATATTTCTCCTGTAGGAAATAAATCATCAATTTCCTCTCAATATCTGACCCGAGCAAACAGTGTCTGTCGCAATCAAGCTGTTATCAGCGCGGCTAAACAGACGAAGCGAGACTCGGACGCGTCGAGGAAACGCGAGGAGTTAGCAAAGCGAATAGCGGCGACCAGAAAAAAGTTGCAAAGTGTACGTACAGCAATTTACCGGTGTCTGACCATAAAATATACCTCTCATTTTTCTTAGGTGGGTTACAGTAGTCCGTTGAGGTGCAGCCAGTCGATTCACGACCTGTCGCACATCCCCGAAAAGGACAAATGGAATTCCGCCTCGCGCAAACCAGGTAAGCCGATCGATTTAAAATGCGAATTTAGCAGTAGCTTCTGTTATGTTCTCTCTGTAACCCCCGACCATTTAACATTACTCATTTCCCTTTACTAACGTACTAATACATTTCAAGAATGTGACATGCTTCAAGAATCTCTTCAACTGCCCTCGAGCTTCTCCCTACCTTCAAATCTTCAGCTCTGTGGGTGCTACATGAAAGACTTTATGAAAAATACAAACCCATCTTTCTTCAGCCCCGCTTTTAACAGAGTTGCTTCCAGTAACGATATTGAAGAGAAAGCTCCTGCAGGTAATGTTAAACTGAGCGATCTCGAGAGAAATCCGCGCCCGCGAAAACTTCACTTAGACAAAATGCTCAATAAATATAAGTTGCACAAGAGCCTGCCGGTCTCTCCGGTGAACGAAGAGCGTAGCTTTTCCGATTTCGTCCCGAAGGCGAATGGTCCGAGACGGTCTTTCAGTTACTTTGTTGATTTTGATCAGAACACGTCTACTGTAGACGGTTTCAAGCAGGTATGTAGCGATATTGAGAAGTTTTCCGAAGATTTTTCGAAAAAGAATGAGCAAATGGAGCAGTATTACTCGGCCAAAATTGGCGATATACAAAAAGAGTTGTTGGAGGAGGGTGGTTTTAGCTCAGACTCTTTGGAGGACTGCAGTTTCAATTCTACCCAAATAAAGAAGGCGAAGAAGTACAAACTGCCCCGAAGGTGTCTGTCGAATAACGAAATTTATAGATACCAAATGGACGCATATCAATACGAAATACCAAAAAGTGAAAGCTTCTACTTGAATCCCAGCAACAAAAACTCCCAAGATAGCATACTGTCAGATGACTACGGTGAGCAAAAGACTGAGAGCTACTGTAACAGCTTAGAAAGCGTCCTATCGTGCGAGTCCGACTGTAAGTCCGCACCTTTAGAGGCGCTATTTTCGGCATATAAAAGACCGAGCTGCGCCAGTGTCCAATTAGAGGCGGGCGATTACGGCGGGAGTTTGCCCAAAAATTACAGCGCGCGCATGAAAACCTCCCAAACCCAAACCGACTTCAGCTTCCAAACTCCTCAGGAAATTGTCGCCAAACGCAACCCCTCGAACTCGGACTTTCAGCGGAAATTACTCAAATTTGAAACGTGCATAGCCGACACGTACACCGTCCAACACCGAGCGAGAGATAACAAAAGGAAAGGGATTGCGTTCTTTGTAGATACGGAGGAGAAATGCGCGAGTCAAAAAAAGACCAGTGAGAAAAACCTGAGATGCGCTGGTGACCCGAAGAAGGAGACCAGCAAGGAGAAGTTTAATAATCGTAACGTGATGTATATTCCTAGTTTGGAAACCAAAAATAAGCAATATAAAAGTAAATTTTGTAACGTTTTGAATAATAAACCGGAGTCCAGTGCCGATATTTATGAGAGCGGATTAAAGTTGATCGGTAAGTTGATACTTTCCGTTTGTTCTATTTCTGATAACTTCGCCAGTTTCAAGTTTTTGACATAAATAGGGGTTGAATTCAATTATTAATTACCATAAACATTACTTTTCTTTAAAACGTTTATACAACTCATTAAAACTGACTCGGCAAGTGCTCCATTTGAGTTTTTGATAGTAGTCTGTTTTTAGCCATCTAACGCACCTCTCGTATTCATTTATATTTCAGTAGATTTAAAGGTGTACATTTTTCAAAAATCAAAAAATTGTCATTTGCAGAACGTTTTCTTAGTTAAAAAAGAGAGAAAAATGTTTATTACCAAAGTCTTTATAATGAATAAATTAAACAAACAGCAAACGAGCTCCTGGGTATGGCTATAGCATGTGCAAAACCAAATTTTAAACCTGATGTTAGTTTTGTTTCTATTTAATGTGTATATGTATGAAATTTCATTTAATTGCTTCCATAATAAAAAAGTTGGCACTGCGCATGCGCAAAACCAAATTTGGAAACTAGTGTTAAATTTTCTTTTATTCCAAGTGGCTATGTATCAAATTTCATTTAAATACCATCATAAATAAAAAAGTTTGCAATTCGACTTATAAATGGTCGAGATGCGCAAAGCCAAAGGGCACTATGAATGCTAATCGATTAGGCTAAAGCTGTGGGCATATTGAATTTCATGCAATTCGGTTCATAACTAACGGAGATGTCAAAAGGGCTTACTTTATTTTTTGGTCTACATTGCCAATTCACGAACTCCGATCTACAAATTTGATAAAAAATCCACCTGCAAAATTTCATCCTAATTGGTCCATTCGTTTATGAGGTATCGTGCTAATGGACGCACGGACAGACACCGCAAAATTATAATCTCGCTAGGAGCTCGTTAATAATCTGCCGTTTTCAAAAAGATTATAGGGATAGCTAATAAAGGTCTCGGACTTAACCTCATTTTTTTAAAGGGACACCCTGTATATTTTAAAGATAACATTAAATTCGCTCTTTAAAAATATGACATACCAGGGATAGTATGCAAAAAAGATTCAAGTGAATTCTAAAATATTCAATAAAGATACAAAAATATTAACATTTAGCAAAATTTAAAGAAAGGTTTCAAATGATTGCAACAATTACAAAAAATGTCAAACAAATTTTGAATTTTTTAAAAATCTTTTTGACATTTTTGAATACATTCCGTAAAGTGAGTGGAAATTCAGTTTTAAAAATCCGATCGCAGATAAAGGTTGGGAAACTATTTTTTTATTTTTTTGGTTGATGGGAACTATTGTGCTTTCAAAAAATTTAAAAATCATGATGTATTCAGAAATGTGGCAGAGTGGGCAAGTTTGTTATTTTCAAAAAATTAATCGTGATTTTTTCAAAAATGTGACAAGTGGGAAATCTTTAAGGGAGCTTTTTGAAATACTATCGGAATCAGTTACACAAAAAGTACTTTTTCAGCTTTAAAATACAAATATTGAGGAACAATTTTTTGAACATTTTGTTTTATGGTTACAAAGAACTATCATATTTTCGAAAAATTTAAAACTCGCGATCTGCAAAATCACAACAAACAAATGTATCCCAAAAATTATGCACGCGCAAAGAAATAGATGTTTAATCATGGCATCAATTTAAAAAAACCGAGATTCCTCTAAAGAAGGTTTCTCCATTTGTAATATTCTGAGAATTAAAAACAAGGTGTTCAAAAATTTGGCAGAATGTTTAATTTTTGGAAAAAAATTGAAACTCGCGTAGCTAAAGTAAGGATCGAGTAACTAATTTTTTTTAAATTTTATTGATGTAAACTTAAAAATTGTGTGATGAATTTAATATATAGTATGACCCTAAATTTTACTATTTGAAAGGAATACAGAAAAATGTTTTTAAAAAAGCTTTTTTATAATGTGACCTAACCTCATTTTGTTAAACGGAACACCCTGTATATTTTAATCTAAAAATGTAACATTAATTTCTCTCTTCAAAAATATAGCATACCAGGAATAATACTCGGAAAAGATTCAAGTGATAAAAAATTCAAAAAATGTAAACGCTAAAAAATGGTTCAAATGAGTCACAAAATACAAAAAAATTCCAAAAAATTTTTTTTACTGATTTTAGAAAAGAGAATTTAATGTACAGGGTGTCTCACTAATAATGGTCATAGGTCATATCTATGGAACCGTTAATTGCACAGCTTCATGAAAGAAATTTTGTTAACAAAAGGGGCCAAGAGAAATCGCTGGAAATTATTTTCAAATTTCTAACTTCGCCGCTAGAGGGCGTACGATTCGTGGTTAAGTTAAAGTCACTAGATATATAAAGTACCGCAATCATCCGCCATTTTTGGTCAAATTTGCTGCCAACTTGAAAAAATTGACAAATAAAATCTGAATAGCTGTAATTTTTATAGCCTAACTTCATAGTACTGTACGTGAGACTGCGATGGCTTTTGCAAATGGCGGACAGTAGTTTCCTGTTCCAGTGGCGTACCTACCTTAGAGTTGTACAAGGATACAATTATAAAGAATTTTACACGAAAACAATTTAAACCCCCCATGTGTCTACTCTGCCTATGACTTTTGTTTAGCTAACCTCAAACTACATTCCGATAAAAAATTGTAAATTTACATGTACTATATAAAAATAATATTGGTACTTACACATGAAATGTAATTCCCAAACTTTAATTTTTTTCCGTTTTGGAGCAACCACAAGCACAACAACTAACCATTATTTTATGTCACTGAAAAAACCACAACAAAAATGAGTCATAAGTGGCTTTTCCAAATGGCCGACTTCCGTCCCACTCTCTCTTGTATACAACCTGAGTAATGCTCCTTCCTGGGCATCGATTCCCGAAGTTAGTCGATATGCTCCGTGATGTGCATGTGATGTGACCGGCTGCCATGACGTCATGATCGTATACGATAGGGATAAGTTCAAGTCTAGCTGCATTCCCGAATCGTGGACAAACTTTATGCGCTAACCAATCACAGACAAGAATTGAACTGTCATTTGTCAGTTTTGTATTTTGTTTTGTTTTTGTATTATGGATACTGCTATTAATAACCAGAAAATCCTCGAACTATTCCATGTTTTATTTCACAGAAAATATGTGAATTTATAGGTTAGAGCACTATAGGTCAGTCGATGTGAACAAAGCACATCTTCGAGAATCGACACCCTGGTATTCTTTATTCATTGATAAAAATATATACAGATATCTCCAAACAGGTGGAACAATCCCTAACATTAAAGTTACTAGAATCTGGTAACTTCCGCCATTTTTGGGCAAAAATCATGCGTTCTCTCTATAACACACGAGCCCAATGAATTGCGGTACTTTCTATATTTAGTGACTTTAGGTTAAGTAGAAAAATGTCCTTTTTTCTAAAATATACCCAACAAACATGCATAGCAATCTTGTATCGATTTTGCATCATTTTGATGCAGCACATATTGCTGTAGCTCATAAAATATTGGGGGGGGGGGGGGGGGGGACATCTCTTTAAGGAATTGAACGTAACTTCGGATTAGGTTAACAGATTTTCACATAGTAGATCTTGTTGGAAAGAGCTCTCTTCGTGCAATCAGATTTTACATGAATAGAATTTTTTTAGTAAATGTGATGAGTGGTAGAGGGCGCCATGTGACTAACACGGAATTAAAATTTGTAAATGTTAGTATTTTCGCCATATCTCTGCTTAGAAAACAGATTTCAAAAACCGGTTTTCGCTGATATTCTCACTTTTTCATCTTATTTGATAATCTCATATAGTAATTGTATCGTTCCATTTGAAATTTAAAAAAAAAACTGCAAAGTTTATGTTAATGTCACATCGCGCCCTCTGCCACTTATCACATTTACTAAAAAGACTTTATTCATGTAATTCTAAGAAGAGAGATGTTTCCAACAAGACCTATTATGTGAAAATCTGTTAACCTAATCCAAAGTTACATTCAATTCCTTAAAGAGATGTTTCCCCTTCCCACGCCCCTCATATTTTATGAGCTACAGCAATATGTGCTGCATCAAAATGATGCAAAATTGCTGTGCATGTATTTTTTATGCATGTTTGTTGAGTATATTTTAGAAAAAAGGTCATAGCTTAACCATGAAACATACGCCCTCTAGCGACGAAGCTAGAAACTTTATTTTCCAGCGATTACTCTTGGCCCCTTTTGTTAACAAATTGTTTTTCCCACAGCTGTGCAATTAACGGTTCCATAGATATAGCCTGTGACCATTATTAAAGAGCTACTAGCGGGTTTATAATTTTGCGGTGTTTGTCCGTCCGTCCGTTAGCACGATAACTCATACGCGAATGGACCAATTACGATGAAATTTTGCAGGTGGATTCTTAATCAAATTTGCAGATCGGAGTTCGTGAATTGGCAAGGTAGACCAAAAAATAAAGTAGGCCCTTTTAACATCTCCGTTAGTCATGAACTGAATTGCATGAAATTCAATATGCGCATAGCTTTAGCATATATAACATTATAACATATTAACATACATATATAATTTCAAAAATCGAGCCTAATCGATCAGCATTAACAGTGCTCTTTGCGCATCTCGACCATTTACAGACCGAATTGCAACCTTTCTTATTTATGAAGGTATTTAAATGAAATTTGATACATAGCCACTTGGAATAAAACAAAATTTAACGCCAGTTTCAAAATTTCATTTTGCACATGCGCAGTGCCAACTTTCTTATTTATGGAGGAATTTAAATGAAATTTGATACATAGCCACTTGGAATAAAACAAAATTTAACGCCAGTTTCAAAATTTCGTTTTGCGCATGCGCAGTGCCAACTTTCTTATTTATGGAGGGATTTAAATGAAATTGATACTTAACCACTTGGAATAAAACCATCGTTTGGGCGCCAACTTGTCTAATGTGATTATTAATTTGTTTTATTTTTGGAGTCAATTTGAGACGAGTAGTCAAATGAATTATTATGTTGAAGTTGCAAACTGGCATTGTTAGAAATAGAAAAAACAGAAAATTTGTTTATTCTAATTAACTGTAGGAAAGAGCAACGAAAACAGCATTTTCATACTAACCGAAAAGAACTCCACGTCCAATCATAACCAAATACAAGAGACATCGAGCCTCGACAGGCATTTATTTACCAAGAATCTTTTCGAAACCGACCGAGTCGCGCACAAGCCTCCGAAGGGCGTGCGTCGAAATAGTTCGAAATCGCGCAAAAACAAAACCACCTACGAGTACATTCGCAAAGAGGACTATCTCAAAAAAATGAACAACTTCCAAAATTCGAAAAACATCTCGTCCGACATCGAAAACCAGGCCGATTCCATTGAAAACACGCTCGAATTTAATTACAAGGAGAAGAACTTGGATCGCGAGTGCGAGTACGGGAACACCTGCAAGGAGGAGAAGAAGATTTTGAACGAACTGTACGACAGTTTGGATAAGTTCGATCTTAACGCGAAAATCGACTATGACTCGCTCGAGGTTAACATAAATCGAGTCCCGACCGATGAGAAATTGTACGACAGCCTCGATTACAACCTGAAGAACGTGTGGGATTCGAACTGCAGTAGCTGGAAGGATAGGCATCCCTTTAATCGTGCCGGAATACAGTCCGCGTTAGAGAACATTAAAATATTGAACGAAATACAGCGAACCGTCAATAAAATCAACTGCTTGGTGGACATTTTTAAGCAAAACATGTACTGCGGGAAAGTGAGAACGCTCTCGCAGATGTACGAGAGGTTAACTAACTCGCACAGTTATTACAACGACTTTCCTACGTTTAGGAAGCGAAATTTGAGCTTGCCTAACTTCGTCGAGAGAAGATTAAACGTTGCAAATGTAGACAGTTGTAAAAATACTAACGTTACAAAAGTTTGTTGCGAAGACTTAGGATCCGCTTCAGTAGTTCAAGGTGATTAATATAGATGTCAGCATGAGCAATGTATAAAGGCTATGTGAAGCTGCAGAAGCAACCCCCTTAATCAGTTGCTTTCTCCCCGCTTTGTGTCGCACCTATCTGTGTATAAACGGGTCAACAGGTTCTTTGTCTAACACCTTCTATGTGCTTTCTTTCTCGGTCTAGTGGTAGCTTAGTCCTAATTGTATTGTGCGTTTGTTTCGTCGTAATAAGTTTCGTTTTTTCTTGTGCATGGTTTCAGCGCATACTGACACGGAGAGTCACGATAACAGTCTTCGTAGAGCATGCAGTTTGAGCGATCTAAGCATGCACGGTCCCGTTACGCATAAAAATAAGATCGAGCAAGGTAAGGTGAAGCATCGTCGAGACTTCATTCGATTTTACATTAGGCGCTTCTGTTTGTCCAGTCAGCATGTGCTAATTGTGACGTAAAAATGTAATTCGCATTTTAAAACTTCTACTGGTTTCAGTCAAAGCCGCCAAACCCGTCCCGGGAAGGAGTAACTCGCGTTACGCCAAAAACACCCAAATTATAAGAAGTAGCTCGACCGGCGTTCTAAACCAATCCGACTCCGATAACGAGAACTCCGATAAAAAACCTCAAAGTAGACTCATGCGGCCTACGATTAGCTCCCAAAACAAAGTAACGTCCAGTAAAAATCTCGCCATAAGGAAACGACAGGCGTATTCTGTCAGTACGTATTGACTGACGCGATGTTTGTTGCTCGACGATTACATTTCCCAATTTTAGTGAATTTAAGCACAGTCGGACAGGAGGATAGTTCCTCGGAGGAGAACGAAAAAATGCCCGTCAAACCGATCGCTCCGCCTCGCACTAGAAATTTAACTGATAGCAGTCAAAGTATGATCGTCCCGCCTCGACGGCATACTTCTAATAAAGAAAAGGCGAAAAGTGAGTTGGTATTTTAAATTTTGGGAGCGAGGTGAGGGGGGGTACCGTTACAAAATGTATAGGACTATTGTTATGCCCCTGGCCCTGGCATTCTCCTCCGATATACCATTCTCAAGCTTGAAGTTTTGACAGCACCCCTTATCCGTACCCTCCCGTTTCCCTTTGTCCGTGCCCTTCTATGTGAAATGCAAACGGTCACTTAAACCACCCACATTCACACCTGTCCATTTAGCTCCGGTCAATAAAATAACTCTTACCATGGGTCGTAATAATAATTCTGAAAAGAAAGAAAGGCACTCAGGGTCCGCAACCGCGCACATGCGATCGATTGAAACAAATTAGTTAAATTACTTTACAAAGTTAGTAACCCTCAAATCCGGTCCCGTCTCCAATTTTCCTTTACAGATACACAAAAAGGCAATTGTAAACTGGTCTTGCGTCTGATTCTTCTTTTATTTTCAATTTTTTGTTTATTGACTGAAATTAAGTGGTAAAAAGAGATTCTTGATAGTTTTCGATAAAATAGGTAACAAGAGCACAGGAATTCAAGAAGGTGCATTGACAATATTAAAGGCTGATTATGCTATACCCACTTGATCCATATTATTCTTACAAAATTAGGAGGGCAGGAATTTAGGAGTGTATGCAGATCAAAGATTTCAAACACCTCCTACCGTATTATGTTCTCCAGATTCTGTTTTGTTAATGGTGTCTTATGAGAATCATGTTAGTTACTTTCGAGACGGGGTCATCAAACCTCTCTTTTTTGACTTGGGGGTGTTAGGGCCCCCAGACTCACAGGTGTGAAATTCTCCTCCAAAATGTTTAGGACTTTTTTCTTGGGAGTGTCAATACACTGTCCTTTTTGTAGGGCATAATACCTAATCCACCAGGGGATACCCCCCATCGTTACACCCCCCAGAACATCAGAAATCGATTTCTTTTTCCTGGGGGAATACCCTCCGGTGTATTATTTATTATGCCCCAAGGAAGGAAAGTCTGATGACACTCCCAAGAATATTATTATAAATGTATATTATTCATAAAAGAAAACATTGCTGATTACCAGTTTTCATGTAACATACATCAATACTCTACTAGATTTAGAGCTCAAAATCTATTCGACTTACAACATCTCAGAACTGTAGTAACTATTACGGGATAAAATGTTATAATAAGTTTCCCTCAAATCTGAGACTTTTCTCTTTCAATAAATTAAACAAGTATAAATTGTGCACAACTCTTGTGCAGATAAAGCGCATTTTTTTTCACCGAAATAGCTTCGTTTTGACATCACCAATGGATATATTTCTTGCAGACGTCTCAATCGCCCTTTGTGAGTACCCTCTTCTAACAATCCGTTCTTGAGGTGTAAGGGAATATACCTGATCACGATAAGAGGTCGAGGAGGAGGGCTATGGTTTGTAGAAATTATTTCCTTTCGTTGAGACCTTTCATTAGAGTACCATGAAGGATAAAACTAGTTCCACTCCCCCCCCCCTCTTCCTCCACCCCGTACTTTGATAAGAGGACAGAAAGAAAGGCAGTAGTTGGTAGAAAACGGTTCCTTTCGTTGAGCCCTTTAAGTAGAATACAATGAGAGATAAATTTAATTTTTAAACCCCCCCCCTCCCAACCCCTCAGGCCCCGTCGCTCACTGATCTCGAAAAAGAGTCGCACGGGAAAGTTATAGTTTGTACAAACCAATTTATTTCGATGAGACCTTTCATTAGAATATCATGAAGGGTAGAACATGTGTTCCCCCCCCCCGCCCCATTTCCTAAAGTTTAACTAAGCACCACTAAAGGCAAACGTATGCAAAATTTGAGACCAATTGGTTGTCACGTTTTACCTTCAAAAACAGCATTCCATGAAATAATTCGTGGGGGGGGGGGGCTTTTGGACAGCGAAATTTGATGGCCGTTTGGCACACCTTCAGGGTATAGGCTACGTAGGTTTTTTTGCAGTAGGTAGCCTATACCCTGAAGGTGTGCCAGACGGTCATCAAATTTCGCTGCCTAAAAGGGCCCCCTCCCCATGAATTATTTCCTGAGATGCTGTTTTTGAAAATAAAACGTGCATAACTTTTACATACGACAACCAATTGGTCTCAGATTTTGCGTACGCATGCCTTTAGTGGTGCCATGTTCTACCCTTCATGGTATTCTAATGAAAAGTCTCATCTAAATAAATTGGTTTGTACGAACTATAACTTTCCCGTGCGACTCTTTTTTGAGATCAGTGAGCGACGGGGCCTGAGGGGGGGGGGGGTTAACAGATAATTTTATGTCTCATTGTATTCACATTAAAGGTCTCAACGAAAGGAACCGTTTTATACCAAGTACTGCCCTTCTTTCTGTCCTCTTATCAAAGAACGGGGTGGATGAAGGGGGGTGGGAGTAGAACTAGTTTTATCTTTTATGGTACTCTAATGAAAGGTCTCAACGAAAGGAATCAATTTTTACCAACCATAGCCCTTCTCCTCGACCTCTCATCGTGATCGGCTATATTCCCTTATACCTCAAAATGGATTGTCGAAAGAAGGTACTCACAAAGGGCGATTGAGACGTCTGCAAGAAATATATCCATTGGTGATGTCAAAACAAAAGCTATTTCAGTTAAAAAAATGCCTTTTATCTGCACAAGAGTTGTGCGCAATTATACTGATTTTCTTTTGTAGTACGTTTTTGTTTGTTTTTAAGTGTTCGTTTTATCTACACTACTTGACGAATCTGATATAGTCGCAGCACTATCATAGAATATTTACATTATTATTATAGAAAATAATCATACAGACGCTGATCTTCCTAAATATTTTGTGAGAGAGTTTAACATAGGGGGACCTCCAGGAAAAAGAACCTAGTTTCCTCCCTCCAGCGCATTAGGAGTTGATTTCTTCCCTGCACATGTTGACGCTTATGAAACCACCGATAGGGGGAGTACGGAAAAAATTGCAGATCTCTACAGTAGGTTTTGAAATTCTTTAGTTACGCCAATAGATCGACAGACACTGAAACCCTAGCGGTCGGTTCCATAATTTAAAAAAAAAGCATCTAGTACGTACCTAACGCAGGTATGCGTGTGTATCGTGCGCCTGCCGAAGGTAACGCCACGGGCTAGTTACATTTACAATGGTTACCCTGATAACGTTATCTTCGTGGTGAATCTCAAGCAAAATCGTCCATACTTATGACGAATTCACATCAGCTTCAATTACGCGAAAATACACTCGATATTATACCATTATGCACTGGAATAAAACGCCAATGTTCGACTGTGTTGATATTAAATTTTGTTGTGAGTAAATGAAACTTGTCTTGGAATTTCCTGCCGAATGCCATTGTGTATAAAATGTTATTTATCGCATAAGATGTGGCACTCAAGTTCGATACACTGACCTTTAACCGACCGTACTGTCAGCTACTTCACCGACTCGAAAATGTTCCATCGCGTAAATCTTTTCGCGGGCAAATAAACGAATAAGGCCGCTAAAAAGTTCTTCTTTGCCGTACAATCCACTAAAATTCGTCTATATCCACACGTATAAAATTACAAGTACCTAGCAATTTGCCATCGCTATTTGAATCTCGCCCAATAGAAATACGGGAATTTCTGTCACGTGCTCAGCTTTGCGTACAACGGAATGAAACTTCCAGGTCCAAAGTGATCGTGGCAATCGCGCCCGCTTGTCTTTTGATATCGCTCGTTATCGCCCGATATATCTTTGTTCAAGTTCACTATGAAGCGGTACACGTGTAAATTTTCCTACGCTTACCAAAATATAATTTCGAAAAATTACTAAATTTAAGTTTCTTCAAGGTTAATCTTCCGATTTCAGGGTCCGTTAACTTGGCCCCCCCTGAGAGATTTGATTGTCGTATTATTTTAAAATGAATGCGCTCATATGCGCCACTGATAAAAACTCTTGCGCCATTATCGTTTTTTAGAAATCCGAAAAAACATTTGGGGGGGGGGCAAGTGAACGTAGCCCCCCCCCCAGCACGTATTTTGTCGCTTGTAACTAGGTCACCTGATACATTTGGTTATGCGCTCAATTCCGCCACTTGAATTAAAGCTAGCGCCATTACGGTTAAGCCGTGACAAATTTTCAAAAAGTGGGGGGGCCAACTTAGCGTTTTTAAAAGTTACTTTTTTTTAACATGTTTTCATACGAAATGGTACTCTCTGGTATGCGCTGAAATGCGCCGTAAAAAGATATCTTTGCGCCATTCTTGTTAGCTTCCTAGCATGTGCTAGGTAGCTATTGCGATAGCCGTTTTTTGAACATTTCAAAATGTCATCAAATGTCGACGTTTTAGACCATTTTAAGCAACTTTTAAAGAATAAAATTTTTTTCCGTCTGTATGTACGTACGTACGTACGTTTGTTGGCAATTTTCTGAGAAAACGGCTCGACAGATTTTGTTGAAATTTTGTATATATGTTTTAGGCATACCGAACAGAAAAATAACGGGCCGGATTTTTGAAAAAAAATTTTGGAGCGCCATAACGTCATCGAACTTTTTTTTTCAAATAGCAACCTAAAATTTTTATTCTATTATTTGGAAGACCTTATCTTCCTGTGTACAACCTACAAAAAATTGGGCCGGGTTATATTATCAAAAAACGGAGAAAAAAATTGTCAAAGTCAACAAATTGTGTAACGCAACGATCTTGTTTCTGAAGCAATTTAAACGAAATTTCTATGGTAAGTCCCTTCAATAAAAGCAAACAAAATTCATGCGCAAAAATCGTGTTGCGCATGCGCAGAAATGCAATTTTCTTATTTATGGAACAATTTTAACGAAATTTAGATGGTAGGCCCTTTCATCAAATGTTGACGTTTTAGATCATTTTAAGCAACTTTTAAAGAATAAATTTTTCCCGTCTGTAAGTGCGTACATATGTTGGCAATTTTTGGTTTCAGCTAGGAAGCTATTCTGTCAAGAATTAGACACCTGGTTTGGGTATGCGGTGCAGTTATGTTCTAATGGTGCAATTTTAACTCTGTTTGCAATAATCGCCAATAACTCATAGGTATTAACTTACTTAGTTTGGAGTTAATGCATTATGCCGCAATGTAGTTCATGTATTAACGATCCTCTAGATCGTTTATAATTTTGTACTGCTGTATGTCTGCCCGTCTGCCTGTGCACGATAATTTTGTTTAGAAACGTCCGGTCGCTTTGAAAATTGGTACACATGTTCTTAAGGATATCAGAAAGGTCGCTATTGTTTTTTTAGTTACGTAGACTAACGGGCCAAACAGTTACAGCCCAAAAACTGCTCGAACCTTCAAAGAATGGTATCTTTTATAATAAATTCTTGTTACAAAGAATATATAAATGCCCGGTTTTCTGTGTCAGTAAATATTCATTAAACCTCAAACAATTTTGAAGATGAAAAAATAATATTGCACGTGCGCAATCTAATTTTTGTATTTGTTAAGTTGTTTAAATGAAATTGTATGTACGCACCTCGAGTAAAAGTAAAAGTAATGCTAATGGGAATGCGGAGAAGTCAAAGATACTATTAAGACGATGGATGTTAGTGTTATTTGATTTGATCGTCTGTTAATAGTAGTAATAGTAATAGTGAGAAAATGGTCATTCAATTAAAAAAAAAAGTTTTTAGTCTTTGAAGTTTCATAACTTTGGATCTCCATAGGTGCGGTTGTCTGCAACTTAACTTTTTTTTAAGTACACTAAATGAAAGCCCTATTCATTCTCTATGCACTGATAATGGGTTGCTATGACTACAACCGTTTTCAAGTAATCAATTATCAAAGTACCATCTGCATCCGCCATTTCTTTTCTTAAAATCAAAATAACTTAAAAACCATAAGTGGTAGATATCGACATGTGGGTATCAAAAGAACTGAAATTTCACGTAGAATCCAAAAATGTAATAAAAAATAGAGGTTTAAAATAACGAAGTTAGTAGCCACTTCCGGTATTTCCGTAAGTGCGTCCATTTTGGAAATATTTTACATCGATTCGGCCTTCGGAGTAACTCCTAAGTACAATTTTTAAAAACCTACCTATTTTACTTTCCCAGAAACGTTTAACTAAAGCTCCCAAAAAAACACCCTGTATAGTGTTTCTGAAACACTATAATGGTGCAAAGATTTTTGTTTACGGTGCATTTTGGCGCATGATGAAAGGTACGATGTAGTAGAAAAAACATGTTAAAAAACGTAACTTTTGAAAACGTTAAGTTAGCCCCCTCCACTTTTTAAAATTCTTTTATGACTTAACCGTAATGGCGCTAGCTTTAATTCAAGTAGCGCAATTGAGCGCATAACCAGGTGTATCAAGTGGCACAAATACCGGTAGCAAAATGCGTTATGGGGGGTTCCGTTCACTTGGCCCCTCCCAAATATATTTAAGGATAACCAAAAAACAAGAATGGCGCAAAGATATCTTTTTATGGCGCATTTCAGCGCATACCACAGAGTACCATTTCGTATGAAAAGATGTTAAAAAAAAAGTAACTTTTAAAAACGTTAAGTTGGCCCCCCCACTTTTTGAAAATTTGTCACGGCTTAACCGTAATGGCGCTAGCTTTAATTCAAGTGGCGCAATTGAGCGCATAACCAAATGTATCAGGTGACCTAGTTACAAGAGACAAAATACGTACTGGGGGGGGGGCTACGTTCACTTGGCCCCCCCAAATGTTTTTTCGGATTTCTAAAAAACGATAATGGCGCAAGAGTTATTATCAGTGGCGCATATGAGCGCATAACGAGCGCATTCATTTTAAAATAATACGGCTATCAAATCTTTCAGTGGGGGGGCCAAGTTAACGGACCCCCGATTTCAACTTCTTATCTCATCACAGTGCCTCTTCCACCTTTTTACAGCAATATCGACTTCATATAGTGAGACACGAGCGAGTTTACAATCGCGTTAAGACTTTCTCTGGTAACTTTTTGAATCCGGTGGTGCCATCTTGAGACATGTAGCAAAGTCATTTTTGTGTTCGAAACTAACCAGCGGCCAAGTTTTTCATTTGACTATTTCCCAATTTTCTTTCTGAAGTAGGTCAATTTTGAGCTCTTTACAAGGCGACCCTCACAGTGAGTGATTAACACCACTAGGACGTATACGCTATCAGGGGTTGTTGGAAATTCACTTTGGGAACCTTTGCCTTGTCAAGGTTTTCTTCTCTTCTGTCAGTCATAGTCGATTCAAATCCCTGCCTTGCAATTCCTTGATACAGCTTATCAACAATGCAGCTTTGATCACCTCCAGTAACAGTTTTACAAGCACCTTAATCTTGCACTAACCAAAGCGTCACAGTTGATCATTCGCGCCCGCGGCTGTTCCATTACCAACCACCTGGGGGCCCGTCTGAAGAGACCTACACATACCTTCCCATTCACAGTCGTTTTTGCACAATGGGTCATGTTGCTACATGATGTTCCCCGAGTAGAATCTATGTGGTAGTTACTACGTTTACGTAACCCTTCATTTATTTATAACAAATTTCTACAAACGCAGATAATCGTACGGTCACAAATTACGAACGACGAAAATCCACAGACCTGGAGGAGACCTTATTAAGTATGGATTTTCACGGTGTACAAAACATCGACGTTTCAACCGTCCAATGTGAGTATCTCGCCTTGCTCGAGCAAAGGGTAAACGTGTACTTTCCCCGAGCAGTATCCACGCAACTATGCGACGATGTGGCGTACCAGCTGACCAAGGCGTCGAATAACGTCGTGGAACTTTACAGGCGACTGACCGACACCGAAGCGAGCACCAGCGAGCAGCTCGCCAACTTGCAAAAAACCGACATGGTCAAAAACTTAGAGCTGTCAATTGCGCGAACGCTGAGGGTATTGCAAGGTTTGACATTAGAGAAATTAAAGCAAAGTAACGGTAATTTTGATGTGAATCAGACGAATACTGTGAAAAGATTGAACGATTTAGTCTCGCGAGGTTTGCCAAGGATCAAAACGCCGTCGTTAATATGATGCAGCAGTATTCCGACATATTGTTAAGTATGGTACAACAGAAAATACAGAACTCCAATACCTCATGATTTCACGCATCGTCGTCGGGAAAGGGTGCACAAAATGCGAGACTGACCGATTTTATCGTGTTGTGAAGATGTCCTTTTCGTTTTTTTTGTTAAAAATCAATTACGCCCCATATTTTATTAACCCTTTACATTAAAATATTTGCCATTAACTGTGTGTATTTTTAGAGATGAAATTAATCTCGGTAGTTGTATTAAAAACATCTTCCAAGTAACTTGTTTATTCATTCCACTTATATTGGCTGTAATTATAACATAGATTGTAGCGCCATGTGTTTTGAATGTGTCGTTAAATCCAAACCGAGGAATGAGAGCTTACAAAACTAGTCCGTAACATTCGTACTGTGTATATTATTTAGAATAATTTTATCTAGTTTTAGATTGTACGTATTTTGTTGTACATTTTTTTAATATTGTTTATAGTCTCTGAAGTCTCGTTTACCTGATATTTATAACTTATGTCAAATTGTTAATGATTTCAAAGCAAACTGTAAAGTACATTGTTTTAATAAATCCTTTTGTTTGGAGTATTTTGATGGGTCCATATGGATAAGAAGAAACAAGCAGACCGAACTTTTGATCAATATAATATCCGAAAAAGGAAAGCACCCGCAATCTAACCAATAAGAATGGATTGAAGGGAGGGGATTGGTGAAGCCATTGGAAGTGGAAACTCGTAGGTTTGATTGGGGGGGGGGGTGAGATAGGAAGACGAGGGAGGGATGAAGCAGTTGAAGGGCCTGAAGAAAATAAAAAAAAGGTAAAGAAAGTATGTGAAAACAGAACATGGCGTGTACGGTGAACGAGATACGCCCTGTATGTAGGTAGTGTAGTGTGAAAATTACATGGCCTTGTAGGCAAATTTACCTAAAAACAAGATATGTGGAAATTATTGAATCGCCACTCATTTATCGCACATAGATTCTATACTGAAGAGCTTTGATTAGCGTAATCCCGCTCTTGCAAGATGGGTAGCCCGCCCCTGGTTTCGGGGGTTCGAGCCTACAGTTCAATGTCGAAGACAATCACGGAATTATAGGTGTTGGCTCAATTTTGACTACAGTTTCATTCACGGAGAAAATGTTAGTTACAAACAACAAGTCAGTACAAAAATCAAACGAATCGGTAATTTCCACATATCAAAATAGAATGATCAAACCTTATATGAATGTTACTTCAGGGACAAGACCAAGTAATCAACATCAATAAACATAAATATGCAAAACACAAACACGATATAAAAAAATGCTAAGATTACTACCTGCATTAAAAAAACAATATAACAAACATTTATGGAGCGACGCGTTCACGACCGCCATTCAAGACAAGATGCCAAACGTAACCCCCGTTGGTGCTTTTTAGGTGGCGCCATATATATAAGAGAAGATGGGTGGCGCAGGCAGCTTTTCCCCACCTAGAAATTGCATGGTTGTCAACTCTCAAAAATGTATATGTATCGTCGTAAGTTGGAACCTCTCGGAAGGTAGTTTAAATTTGGCAAAGTTGCGTATTTTAATGCTGAACAAAATGCAGTTTTGAAACTTACAACATTCCGACTACTTTCGGAGATATCCGGATATCTCCGAAAGTAGTCGGAATTTTTTAAGTTTGAGAGGTTCCACCCTGTATACACAACTTACGACGATACATACATTTTTGAGACCATACAATTTCTAGGTGGGGAAAAGCTGCATGCGCCACCTAGAAAGCACAAACGGGGGTTACGTTTGGCATCTTGTCTTGAATAGCGGTCGTGAATGCGTCGCTCCATAAATGTTTGTTGTTATTTTGTGTTATTTAATGCAGATAGTAATTTTTGCATTTATTTATATCGTATTTGTGTTTTTTGTATGCCGCATTTTATATTTTTTGTGTGTTTGAATCTTTGTTTTTGAAATTTACTGGGTTTAACCGCAATGCAGAATAATATGTGTGATACCATTATGCTATTGTTTGTAATTGTTTACGTTTTTGGTGTAATGCTTGCTAAATTTATGTTTTTTGATGTTGATTACTTGGTGTTGTCCCAGAAGTAACATTCATATAAGGTTTGATCATTTTATTTTAATATGTGGAAATTATCGATTCGTTTGATGTATGTACTGACTTGTTTGTTACTAACAATTTTCTCCGTGAATGAAGCAGTCACGGGGGTGGTAAAAACTGTAACCATTTGAAGTACGACACCTAATTGCTTGATTGTCTTATTGACATTCAACTGTAGGCCCGAACCCCAGAAACCAGGGGTGGGCTACCCATCTTGCAGGAGCGGGATTACGCTAATCAAAGCTCTTCAGTTTAGAATCTATGTGCGACAAATGATTGGCGATTCAATAATTTCCACATATCTTGTTTTTAGTCAAATTTGCCTACAAGGCCATGTAATTTTCCATCTTGCTTTTAACAACAGGACTTTATTGCACTAAAGATGAGTCCCATCCTGTACTCTTAACCCTTGCTCAAAATTTAGGTAGGTACCTCTGCTACTACCTGATCCATTGTTCCCAAAAACTTGCTTTTAACCTTGAGTGTAACCAACATTGTATATAGGTATGCATTTACTATTCTTTGTTAACTACTGCTTAAACTTTTCCAAAATATTTTGTTAATTAACTTTTGGACTGTATTAATCAAACTGCGAGGTTTTTCTTACGTCGTACTCTTTTTACCCTTATCAGTTACTTTTGCGAGAGTACGCCGCCTTTTGGCTTTGTTTGCTTTGTTTATATTAATGTACATCAACTAAATTTCCGGGCTTTTACAATCATAATAATTACGATCATCATTAAACAAACTTTTCAAAATTTCAGTGTATTATTTAACGTTCCTTCCCTACTTCAGGTCATAGCGTTGTTTATAATAACGTAAGGGGGCCCTGCCTTAGATGTTTAATTACGTGCACTACAGTGGATTAAGTGGTAGAGCAACCTCGATCGCAAGAATAAAGTCAACATAATAAAATATAATATACATAAGACTGCTTAATATAGGTACATATTATATACATAAATCGACGAACTTATTGCTAAATTAATATACATTGGCAACTAAAAAATCACATCAGTCAGGAGTCCAGCGGTTAATTTATTATTGACGACGTTCGGTGCGGCCCGTGAAACGAATAGTAACCGGTTGCACTCTCATGTTTGAAGTAAGAAATTGTTGCAAGGTGCTAACACCGTCACGTGGTGCTCTATCAAATGGATAACCCATGGAACGGCGATCGGGATACAGCCTGTCCTTAATACCGCAATAGCTTGACGCGTCGTTACACGGCACCTGGGTATCTTGAACAACCTAAAAATTGTCGCTTTAGTCTAAGAGATGACACTGAAAACAACACGTACCCTGTCGTCTGCATAGTTCGATATCATGACAAAGAGATGGCAGCGCAATCCTTCGGGAGTGCCCTTCGCTATGAGCAAGTGTTGGGGCCATCCGCATCCGCAGAAATTAAATTGTTCCAGTGCGTCACCTCCCGCGGGCCTATTCGCTTCTAGGTTACGGAAGGTTCGCTCGAAGGGAATGGTCACGGAAGACTGATCCGATCGGCGAGTAATGGTGTTCTGACCCTGTCTCACTGAAAGAATCATAAACGAATCCGTTTACCACAGATAGAGGGTAGCACTTACGGTTTACTACAAAACGATCCAACTCCACAAACAATCCCTTCTGATCTTGGAATAACCAAGGGTTGCCTCTCTCGTCGGCGGCAGGTGCGATGAAAATTCTGCACGTCCCCTGACGCGCACCTCCTGTGTTATTCACGTTGATGGTGTAGTTGAAGGCTCGGTGATTCAAGTGGGTGAATCTGACGAAGACGGAGCCACGAGGTTGGAAGTCCATGCCGCGTGAAAGATCGACGTCGGATTGTTGCCAAAAAGTTTGCAGTTCGTTTTGCGGCGCCCCTTGCGCTTGCACCGAGCAGGATGTAACCGTAACCCCGTCATAATTTAACTGAGCAAATCGTTAGCATTTCTACCAAAAACCTAGGCTTTCACTGACCTGATTCACTGTGTACCTTGGTAGCGAGTCTTTCAGCTGTTGGAAGATGTAGTCAATGTACGCGTGCCATCGGTAAAATGCAGGATCCCGCATTGCGGTTGTCGAGTCGCCAATTACACCGAATGATTCCTAGTCCAACAAAACGTTAGAACAGTTACAAATAGGCAGGTACACACCAAGTGACGATGATCAGGGTCGTGACAGTACGAGATGAACACGTGGCCATAGTTGTGGAGGTCTCCATAGAAAGCTCTGTTCGGTGAGATGATGCTAGATTCAATCATGTTGCCAAGAACGTCGATACCTTCGAATTCGGTAAGTGTGACGTTATTGCCCCTTTCCTGGAAGACTATGGCGTAATCTTGCGCCACCGAGATGAGTAACTTACGTCTTGGATGACCCCGGAATTGATAGCCGCAATGATTCTGTCCCTCCAACGTTCCATTGTTCCAATGTCGGCCTTAACTTGATCTTGCTCCCTATTTAGATCCTTCAGCGTTTGGTTCGCGACCCGAGCCGGATAAGATCGACTGGCCACCATGCTGTCCAGTTTCGGAAAGTACGCCTCGGTGATTGGTGCACGCCAGTCGACCAAGCGGGTGACTCGCTTCAAAGAGTTGGAGAAGCGCTCGAAGTTATATCTGCAAGGTTACTGATTTACGGGTACAAGTCGGTGGTAAGTAAGTACCTGGCCATGATTTGCTGGTGCATGTAGTAGAAGAGCTCGCCTCGACGATTCTTGTTGACGATCTCTCTGGGTCCGTTGAATGGGTAGACCAAGTGCCAGTGCCAGTGGTGGAGATTAAGGCCGACGTCTTCGCGGAAGTAGGCGACGCGGTGCTCTTCCTCCAGGTTCGACGCGGTGAAGTCGATTGGGATCTCGATCGGCAACTAAGACAGATGATGCAGAGTGGGAGTGGTAACTTGGTATCTTACTCTAGAACCGGTCGGTACAATTGTCGCTTCCTCTCGGACCTTGGAAAACGTCTTGCTGTCGAGGAACTTGTCGGGGAAAGACTGCATGAACGACGGTAAATCCAAGTCCTGCGTATCCGGTCGGTGAAGGAGTGCGACGGACAGACAGTAGTTGAAGAGGTAAGGGTTGACGCGATCACGAGCGTAAACTGCCATCGATTGTAACTCGTCGATATTCCTCATTCCTGTATAATACAGCACCTGATATTCCCATCAACAGTCCTAATACCCATTACTCACCCATAAAGATATCAATCAGTTGTCCCGCAATCTGCCTATGGAACGGAAGAAACAGAGAGAAATTAGCATGACGTGGTAAATTAAGAATCTTTCCTAAACTGGGCAAAGAAATTTTCTTAACCGGAATTCTCTCGCCCGCTTCTTCGCCAAATCGGTTGAACAGCTGCACGCCCAGGTGTTGATATTGTGGAGGCTAAACAACTCATTATAACCAGGATGAAGGGAAACTGTTACTCTTACCAAATAGTCAGTTGGCATATCAAATACGGAATTCTTCTCCCCTTTGGCCATGAAACATGGTTCGGTGGGATTTTGAAGGAGAAGCAAAAGGTTCTTCTTGTTCGCCATTGCAACCACAGGAAAATGAGGACCGACTCCTAAGCTGTTACCTGAAGAACTAGGGTTTCGCTGAGAGCACTCCGGTTTTATAATCCCAACGTAATCTGTTTGTTAATTCTGCAAGGGAAGTGGGCTTGACCGCAACTTTATTCTTTACCACAAAATAGGTTCATCATTGCATTGAGGTAGATCAAAAATAAAAAAAGATATCTTGTGATAACGGTTAAGAATGTATACAGGGTGTTCATGTCGTAGTTCTCAGTTTTAACACTTTTAATTGCCCATACTAAACATTTTCCATAGGGTCTTCCTTGTGCAGAGCTGGGCAGTATTCGATTTTGTAAATACCTTTTAGTATTCAAATCCTTTAAAGTATTCAAATACTTTGTAATTAAATACTTTTATGGAAGCAGTATTTGTATTTGTAATTCAAATACTTTCACAAATATTTAGTATTCGAATACTTCGCATAGTATTTGAATACGTAACCTTCCTTTTTTACCAAAAATCGACTACACCAAAATTTCTCGGGAAAACACTTTTTTTTATTAATTTTGGTGCGTAGAATCCGAAACAATTCGTACTTTTTCGATTAGATTTTTCAATCAAAACTTATAGACTAGAAACCAATTTCGAAAGAAAATTCAAAGGACTGTAACTTTTGAATTAGTAGCCCAATCTTGGAACTGTTTGAAATTATGGATTCTACAGGCCCCATTCTATAATAAAAATTTTGTTTCCGGTCGTTCTGAGACAATTTTTTCTTCGGGCCTCAATAAAAGGCAGTATGTATAACCTTCCATTTTTACCAAAAATCGACTACACCAAAATTTCTCGGAAAAACACTTTTTCTTATTAATTTTTTTTAGTCTTATCCACGCTTCTTTAGCTAGACCCTTCTTCACGTCCCCTCCAACCCTTGTCACAACCGTGTCCCTCCTTTTTTAGCAACCTACAATCTTTCGCGCCATTTTCAAGACTTTCCCTATTCTCCACGCCTCCTTTACGCTTGCTTCGAGCCATTTTCATAACTTTGTTGAATCTTTTCCGCCCCTCTTTCTGTCTTTCTTCACGCTTGCTTAAAGCTTTCATCACGCTGAAAGTCTTCTTTACGTTTGCCTCGATATTCCTCTTCGCCACCATCGAGGTTTCTTTACGCCACCTCCTTCACACTCTTTTAGGTCTTTTTACGCCAGTTTTAAGCTTTTTCTTTGCATCCTTCGACCCTTATTCTCGCGCCTACTTCGAGCGTTCTTCTCACCTATACCGTCGAGTATGATCCTTCACGTCTGCTTCTAATTCACTACACACCTTTTGTAGTGTTTTTCTCGCCTCCTTCCACCCTTCTTCGCCCCTTCTTTTCGCGTCTGTTTCGATCCTTTTTTGCGTCTTCTTCACAATCCCGTTAAGATTTATTCACGACCATTTTCAGTATTCTTCACATTTGCATCTACTACCCCTCTACACGCCTCCTTCAAATATTTTTGTCTTCCTCACGCCTGTTTCAAAGTTTCCCGCCGTTTCCTCTTTACGATCCCCTCGATTCATGATTTCTTCGAGTCTTCTTCATGCATTCTTCAACGTTCTTCGTTACTCCCTCCAGACAATTTGTTCGCGTTTTCTCGCTCTTTCTTTAAGGTTTCTTCAAATCTTCACGCTCGCTTTAGACCTTCGTCACACTTTCTGCGACCCTTCACGCCTTCTTCAAACCTTTTCGATGCATCCTTTCTTCTTTCACCAGAATCAGTTGTTTTTCCACTGTCCCCGGGACAAAAAATTGCACATTTTCACCGCATTTTCACAAAAAAATCCGATACAACTGAATGTCGAACGATCCCCGAGATCGTTTTTGGGCCGTAACTTTTTGAGCCGATGGTCTGCGTAGCTGAAGATAAATAGCCTGCACCTTTCTTATATCCCGAAGAACATGTGTACCTACCAATTTTCAAAGCGATAGTACGTTTCTAAACAAACTTATAGTGCACACGAACAGACAGACGGACGGACAGACAGACAGACAGCAATACAAAATTTTAACAATATCGAGAATCGTTACTAAAAAAAATGCGCTATAGTGGCTACATTGTCTGTCGGGTTCGTCTGTTCGTTATACCTACAGCTGTCACTATCGGATCTTTATTTTAAGAGTGCCCTATTTTTTTCGCGATTTCTTTCGTTATGGAAACTAAAGTACTAGTCAATATCCTCGCCAGTAAAGTGTCATTTTCCTGACTTTTATGTAATTTTTTAATTTTTGAAAGTTTGACAGTAGGTGTCTCTTATTCTTTCGGAAAAAGAACTGTTACGGCGGAAATGGGGTTTTTGTAAATCATTCGCAATAATGATTTGCCATATTTAACATCTGATGCAATTTGTATGCACCTTGATTATCTATAAAGTATTAGGAGTAAAATAAATAAGTATTTAGGAATTACAAGCGTATTTAGTGTAATTATTGTAGTTACGCCTCGCGAAGGAGTACAAACTTATCAAGTTCGTACATTCAAAAAAATTACTAAAAACTAGGTTATTTCAGTTGAAGTGTAGGTGAATGTCCGGTAAAAGCGGAAGTCGTATAACAGTGAACATATTTAAGCTGAAACGAACTCTTGAGCGCGTAAATCCCATAACCAGTTTGTTGTGGGGCACCCTGTATGTGAGCATCATTTGAATTGCCGCCTTGTTTCATTTTGGCTTACTGCCAACCAACCAACGAGAAAGTCCCAACCGGAACCGATCCTCAAACTGGGTTAGCGTAGCGTCAGCCCGCCATTTTGTTTTGCGTTTCTTGTACTCTTTTGCAAATTTCCGCGCTTTCCAGAACCTAAAAGAAAAATGTCGCATAGCCGCAACGATTGCAGAATTTACGTTGGAAATTTACCGCCCGACATTCGCACGAAGGACATCCAAGATCTCTTCTACAAATTCGGTAAGGTAACATTCGTCGACCTGAAGAATCGCCGCGGCCCCCCGTTCGCGTTCGTCGAATTCGAAGATCCGAGGTGAGTCCACTTTCCTTTCGTCCTTCACCGCCCTTTAATTCTCGTCGAACTTTTAGGGATGCGGACGACGCGGTCCACGCACGAGACGGCTACGATTACGACGGTTACCGTCTTCGAGTCGAGTTCCCCAGAGGGGGCGGTCCGAGCTTTCGAGGCCGCGGTGGCGGAGGCGGCGGCGGCGGTGGACGCAACCGAGGGCCACCGGCACGTCGGTCTCAGTTTCGAGTTTTAGTCACAGGTTTGTAATAAACCTAAAAGTCTTATATGTGATTGATACCCCGCAGGACTGCCTCCTTCCGGATCCTGGCAGGATCTTAAGGATCACATGCGAGAAGCAGGTGATGTATGTTTTGCAGATTCTTTTAAGGACGGTTCCGGAGTGGTAGAGTTCTTGCGCTACGAAGATATGAAATACGCAATTAAGAAATTAGACGATTCACGATTTAGATCGCATGAGGTGAGTGTGGTTGTTTTCTTATACAAAGTCTATGTGGCGAGTTGTTTTTATTGGTTTTGTGTTTATTCTGTGGTTTTGTATTTGTTTAATGAGTGTAATCTGTGGACTTACCGGATTTATCACTTCTATTTTTATTAAACATTTATGAATGTGATACCTACCACTTTGAATTTATACAGCGTGTTCTCACATACTGATATTTAAATTAAGTTGGCTAACTATAGTCCCATTTCGCAGGGATAAAAACTGCAGACTGTTTTTCTATGATCTAAGCAATCTGTGTGCGGAAATATACAAGGTGTTACATTGACAAAGTGGATTAGAAGAGGAGATAATGAGAAAAAGATTGATGATGTGCCAAGAATTGCAATTGGCTCGGTTTTGTTATTTTCATGTTGAATGGTATCCAAACTTTGCCGTTTCGGTATCTTTGAGGTTTTAAAAAAATTCAAAAATTTTCCAAATGTTTTGTAGCGATTTTTTGAATTATTTGAATATTTCGATTCCTTTTGAATTTTTTTGAACCACTAAATCGTCTTACTATCACTGCTGTGTTATATTTTTAAAAAGATAGTATATTAAAGTCCCTTCAAAAAAATAACACTACAAAAATTCAAAAATCTTTGAAATTTTTTTTGCGGTTTTTTTATCCGAACTTTTTTTAATTTCTGCATCTCTTTGAATTACTTTATCACCCCTGGTGTGTGATATATTTTTAAAAAGACAATTTAATAAGCTTTTAAGATTAAAATATACAGGGTGGTCCATTTAAAAAAAATGAGTTTAGCTCCATAATTTTTTACCTGACCTGTATACTTATTTCGACGACACATTACTCGAAAATCATAAAGAAACTTAAATTTTTCGTTTAACTAAGAAAATATACGTTAATTCTGAAATTGACAATTTTTTCGATTTGATTTTGGTCCAAAAAGAGAGAAAATTTTAAAATATTCGCCTGCTTAAGAGATACGCGGGAAAATCACAAAATTGTTAATTTCAGATTCAGAATGATCTATAAGTTAGACAGAAAAAGTTCTTTATAATGATTGTCGAGTCATCTGCCGTTTTCAAAATAAGTATACAGGGTCAGGTAGTAAAAATAAAAGCTCATTTTTTTAAATGGAATAATAATAATAATAATAGTGTTCAAAAAATTTATTAACTTCAGCAAATCTGTACAATCTATCACACGAATGATCTTTGAATTTTTGAATTACTTGAATCTTTTTTAATATCCCCGGTGTGTTAAATTTTTGAAAAGTCTTCAAAATATAAGGTTAAAAAAGATTCAACAAATAAAAATTCAAAAATCTTATTGAAATTAAGTGAACTTTTTTTAAATTTTTTAATTCTTTAACCTCTTTCAATTTTTTTTAATCACTTAAAAAGAGAATTTACTATCAAATTTTTTTAGATTAACATATACAGGGTGTTCCATTAAAAAAAATGAGGTTAGGTCCGGGAACTTTTTACCCGACCCTGTTTACTTATTTTGAACCTGGCCCCATTTTTTTTAATGAAACTATATTTTAATTTAAAAAGACCGTTTAACTTTTAAAATTTAACAGCAAAACATTAAAAAAATTCAATATTGGTTCAAAAAGATTAAGGAATGTTTTTGAATTATATATTTGAATCTTTTCTAATTTTTTTTAATAGTCTTGTTGAATTTGTTTGAACCACTTGAATCTTTTTTTTAAATATCCCTGGTGTGTGTTTGTTAAAAGACAGCATATTAAAGTCTTCAAAAATAGAACACTAAAAAAATTAAAAAATCTTTTTTAACTTGTAGATATTTTTTTGAATTATAACATGTTTTAATTTTTTTAAATCTAATAGTTTTGATTTTTTTGAATCGCCTGAATCTTTGTTTAATGGATGTGTTATGTTATTGACAATTTTGATTGCATAATATTCTCTTCAAAAATATAATACACAAAATTCAAAGAAATTCAAAAATATTTGAAATTTGTTCGAATTGCTTGAAACTTTTTAATATCATCACGTGTGTGTTATGTCATGGAAATGTTTTTATAGCATACTAAAGTCTCTTAGAAAACATCACAAAAAATCGAAACAAATTCGATAGATTCAAAAAGATTCGACAGGTTAAAAAAATTTTGTTGTAGGAATTTCTTTGAATTATTTGAACACTTAATTTTTGTAAATCTTTAATTTGAACCTTTTTTTAAAATCATCCCTGGTGTATTGTTTTGAAAGTGTTGATAGCATATTAAAGTTTCTTCAAAAATATAGCACAAAAATCAAGGAAATTCAATAGATCCAAAAAGATTCAACAGATTTAAAAAAATTCAAAAATTGTTTAAATCTATTTTTGAAGTATTTTGTATCACTTGAATCTTTTCTTAATATCCTTGGAGTCTTATATTTTTGAAATAATAACATTATTCTCTTCAGAAATATATCGCTAAAAAGAAAATTATTTTGTATTTCTGTTCCCTGTTGTGTTGTAATTGAAAATGTTGATAGCATATTAAAGTCTCCTCAAAAAAGTCAAAGAATAATTCAAAACTATAGGGATTTTTTAAATTGGAACATTTTCTTTAAATTCTTTTAATTTTTTTTAATGTTATCACTTGAATTTTTTTTTTGAATAATGAATTTCTTTAATGTCCAAGATGTGTTATATTTTTGAAAAGATGGCATCTTTTGAAAAATATAGCACTAAAAGAATTCAAGTTCTTTGAAATTTGTAGGTTTTTTAAATTAGTTTAAATGTTTTTAGATTTTTCAATCTAAAGTATTGTTGAGTAATCTCAAGTTTCAAAATAAATAAGTTTACCTTGTCAGGCAATAAAAGCTATCGGACCTAACCTCATTTTTGAAATGAAACACTATATTTTAATCTAAAAAGACCATGTATCTTAAAAAACCGTAAAACATAAAAAAATGCAATATCAGTTGAAAAAGATTGAGCAAAGATAACAAATTCAAAAAATTTTTGAATTTTTTTGGAATTTGAATATTTTTTAAATCTTTGAATTTTTGAATCACTTCAATCTTTTTTAATGTCCCTAGTGTGTTATGTTATTGAAAATGATAAATGATAGCATATTAAGCTCTTCAAAAATATAACAATAAGAAATTCAATAGATTCAACAAAGATTTTAAATCAATCAATTCACGTAATTTTTTGTGCGGATTTTTTGAATTATTTGAACTTTAAAAAAATTTTGAATCTTGTTTAAATATCCCTGGATTAAGGTCTCTTTTTAAAAATAACACTAAAAGAATTTAAAAAAATTCAAAATTTTACTACTTACTTTTTGAAATATTTTGAAAGTACTTATTTCACTGGAATCTTTTTTGTTTTCATCCTTGGTGTGTTATACTTTTGAAAAGTGAATTTGATATCTTATATTAAAATATACAGGGTGTTTCATTTAAAAAATGAGTGTAGGTCCGATAAATGTTTTCCCTGACTCCGTATACTTATTTTGAAAACGGCAACTTCGTATAAAATAATTAAATATAGGGTAATTCTGAAAATGACAATTTTTTGATTTTCCTCCATATCTATTAAGTTTGATTCAAAGACCACATGACGTCTATATTACTTTTTGGATAGCACCATTGCGGAGATACGCTATAAGTGTTGAAAATGTCGATTTTTGGATTTTTTGTTTTTGAAATTTCTAAAAATTTTCCGAATAAAACGTTTGTATCAGTTTCTAAAATAGTAAAAGTAATGTGCGATAGGTGGCGCTATTTCTTATAGGTCTAGGATGGTTTTTGAATTATTAAAGGTGACGTCACAATACGTTTCTTTAGCTGATCCAGGTTTTATTCTGGATTTCTACTTAGTCGAGGATCGATGTGACTTGTATAGTTTCATCTCAGGATCAAGAAAATATAAAAATCGCAGACAATCACAAATTTGTTTTTGCACTGCTTTAGCGTTTAACAATTGTATCATCAATAAATCAGCGAATCCTAGTTTTTTACAGCAAATGTTTATTTAGGGCGAAGTGTCTTATATTCGTGTAAAGGAAGATCGTGGCGCTAGCGATCGTCGGTCCGGCGGTCACTCAAGAAGTCGCTCGTACTCGCCGCGTAGGCGTGGCTCGCCCACGTACAGCCCGGTCAAACGCAGTTATTCCCGTAGCCGTTCCCGTTCGTAAGACCTTAAGCTGTATGCTTTAGAAGTAGATCGGAATGGTTTTGTATAACTAAGCAAATGTATGTATCATTTTCACAACTGTTTTTTTTTTACTGCTTTCGCGTTCTTTCTGTAAGTCTTAACATTCCTCGCTATTATGGGAATATTTCATTTGTTTAAAAGCAAGACTTGACCTTCTGATGTGAGTTAAAAGCAATCGACATAACATGATTTTATTTTGTGTTCAGTAATCGGATGTAGTCATCATTGTTTGTCTAGACAGTATCAAAAGTCTATTCTTGCTCTTAATAGGTTTAATTTTAAATTTTTCAACAAATTTATTAATGTAACTTTGTATGTAATAAGAGGTGCTCTAAAACTGCACAAGTTTTAGATCATCTTTTTATAATAAAATAGTGACTAATTGTATTTTTTGTTGCCTGTTCGTGGGATGGGTCAAATAAACGAAATCACTTGAACACATGTTACTTTTTGGATGCAAGAGGATAGGAATGAATGTTTGGAGGATCACTTTAAGGAGGATTAACGGAAATACGAAGGATTTCGTCTTTTAGTTGGAAATTACTCTCGTACCGCTTGACGCTTTTCTCGACAAATTTCACTAGGACCAAACTTTGGTTTGGTTTCGGCTTAAGTTTGGACCACGTGGGATTTGATTGTCAAAAAAAAAATGTATAGGATCAGATTTCGGATTTCTTGGAATGCTTAATTGGAGGAGGATGTTTTATGTCGTTCGGGAGCATAGGAATTTAGGAAAAAAAACGTTAGGATCATCTACAGGATTTTTGAGGGATTTTGAGGAGGATTTTTGGCTTTTGGCGATTAAGAGGATTGCTTGTGTTTGGGATTAACCGGATCATCTTCAGGTATTCTTGTATGTTTTGCCATTGTTTTCTTATTTTTTAAAACATTATGAGTAAGTGCGACTTGTTTTCCTTTTTTTTACTAATTTAAATATCTATTGCATGCTTTTCTTTAATTAAAAATAAATGAACGAGTGTGATGAGTGATTGGTTGATAAAAGCTTATTTTAATAAATGTATATTTTGTACTGGATCAACTAATGATAATTACAGCTCATTTGTTTAGTAAGCGTTACATTTTAGGATTCGATCAGATTTGTAAAATGGGTAGGTATGTACATTCGGTAAGTAAGTTTGTATGCATTGTAAGGTTATGTGTAATAAATTTATATACTGGTGTACGCTTTTTTTATTTAACCTAATAAACAGACCTTACTACATAATGTACAATGGTTATAAGTTTTCTCTATACTATCCCTCCTCTGGAGTTCCACAGGGGTCCAATTTGGGTCCTTTATTGTTTCTTTTATATATAACCAGTCTACCCAAAACGCTCGTAGTCTTGATGTCTCTTTCACTCCTGCACTACTAGGAGTAATTTCAAAATTAAGTTTATTTATTTTCGTTTATATTAGTTTACGGTTTTTTCAACTATTTAGTATAGCAAGGTTAAGTGGAAGAACAGATGGCATGATTTTATTGTCAATCTGAAATTCGCCTTGCACTAACTTTGTCTCTTGTTCATTATCTTTTTTGTTTAATTAAATAAAGGCAGTATTGTTATTTGTTTTGCTATATATGGTTTATCTTTTATGCGTTTATTTACTTAATTTTATTTTTGGATTTACTATTACCTACTTATTAGATAGATCATTTTTTCTACTTTTAATAATTTGCTATTTTTTTTTCTCATTTAGCATTTGGCTAACATTGTCTTAGAATTGACGTGTTTTGCTATTGAACAATAAATCCATTATTCTTATTATTAACTTCTTAGGCCCGAAGATCGCCCTCGAGGTTGAAAGATGGAATACCAAGATGATAATACGAAGTCTACATGACAGCCAATGATACAACTATAAAATATTATACTCCATTAATGTAATAATTATAAAAATCAATAAACGAAATTATTATTATTAACTTTTACTTGTAAATATAAGATTTGACCACCCACCCTATAAAGGTTTTAAACCTATCTTGCCTCCCCTAACTAGCCCACTTTAATTAGAGGGGGGTGCCATGATCTATGTTATTATTTGCATATAGGAATGTTTTACGGCATTTTATAGGAAGCGATATCAAGCTATCGCAGAGCCTATGTTGTCCCACCTCCCTGAAGCTTGTGTCCACCTCGAGCTTGGCAGCTCATCTGGTACCGTATTGACTGTCATCCAGGATATATTGTGACGCCACACCCACACGGGTGTATACCATCTGTGACCCTCAAGTTAAACCTTTTGTAATGTCACATTAGTTCCTGGAAGGGTAGTTGAGGTACTATGTAAATGGAACTCGCCTATATACACAGAATTTGTACACTGGATGTTCACTGTAAGTCCAAGTGGCAACGATATGGACGTTCATTCAAGGTACATTCCTGGTCTCGTTTTATTGCACTATATTTACAAATAAAACAGGTACTTTGGAAACGATATCTATTAAAAACTGTTCGTACAACAGCGAGGGATATAAAATGTAACAAAAAATTCACGTCCTTGTCTTGGCTCTTTTGAGCCGTTTAGAAATTGCTTCTTGAGAAATGTTTTTGAATGTTTGCATCTCAACTGCTAAAAACAAAAATGGTATCGATGAGACCCAGACAATTTGCTATTATTTATATTTTATAGAAAATTCGGATCTGTTTATAGCAACGATATGGCGTGCCCAAAGCTTTGCTTTATATGTACTTTTACCTGAATCGTGTGTGTTATACTGTAAAGGGTATTATTTGATTAAGTATTTATTTATGAATCCATGTTAAAATGTAATATCAGTGTGATATTGCTCTGCAGATGTCCAACAGTTATTTCCGTGGAGTGTACCTTTATACAGTTCCGGTTATTTGCTGTAAATCTTGCTTTTCGTTTCGTGCGAACGGTAGCTCTTAGCAATACAGGAAAAGGGATCTTCTAACTTTTCTTGTGTTTATTATGTGGGGTCTGGACGTGAGATGATCGACTTATACTTACATTGCCACGTGTACTTTTTTGTGTTAATTTAATGGATCGATGTCGGAGTAAAGACTGCCTATGTTTTTTATATACATGCAATTTACCTCTTTATGAATGTAATATATATTTATGTTCTCGGATTGCGTAAAAGCGGGATTGGTTGAGTTTTGCTTTGGTTCCTTTCGGTTTTTCTGCTCGACACTCTGAAATTATAAAAAAAAAACAGAAATCTTAGTAAGCAAGGGTAGTCGAAGGTACAAAAATTATCCGCGAAAATAAAAAAAAAAAGCGCGGAACAATGTTCTAGCGTCGGTGGGTCTGAATTGGAGTAGGGCCAGAATTAAACTCGTGTATAAATCTGTGCGATTCACAAGTCGTCAGGTCAGGAGCAGTATACTTGATGCGTTTTTTCGTGTTTCGGGTGGAATATAATGGCAATGAATCACTGTTTTACGTAGTTCTACGTTTTCGCAAAGATCGCCGTTTTTTATTAGGTTCGATGTACGATTGAAAAAGTGTAGTGGGTGTTTAGCCATCGGTAATTTTCGATTGCCGCCGCGGACGTAGAGGGGCGGGTCTACGGGAGAGTCCCAGCTATGCTCAACTCGTCATCGACTCGCTTGGCATTGGTATATGTGGAATATGCGAGCAATTTTCCTTGTGAAACGGGCGAGCTCTCATTGGTATACGCTCGGCATTGGTGTGAACACTGACTAGAACCGTATAACGCTTCAGAAATGCAGGCAAGCGGTTCGTATGAACCCTGTAGGCTCGCTCGAGATTAGTATGAACTTTGTTTTTTGACCGGAACAGTATAACGTTCCAGAAGTTCGGGCGAGCCGTTGGTTTATGCCGATCTCGCCCCCGGTTCGCTCGGAATTGATGTTTTGTAACCGAAACCGTATAACGGTTCAGAATTTCGGGCGAGCCGTTGGTTTATACCGATCTCGCCTTCGGCTCGCTCAAAAATAGTATGAAATTTTTGTTTTGTGACCGGAACCATATAATACGCTCCAGAGTTTCGAACGAGCCGTTGATTTATGTCGATCTCGCCTTCGACTCGCTACGTATTAATGAGAAAATTGGCGTTAAACTTCGACAATATACTTAGGTAGTATGTTGCTATTTACTTGACGTAAAAAGCATCCTCTATGATTTTAACCGCAAAGCTTAAGTTAATGTAAAAAGACAATTTTGACATGTACAGGGTGGCCAAATAAGATTGCGAGGTACTGTATCTGGGAGCCTGTCCGTCGTAGAGGCTTGCGGTAAAAAAAAATTTATTACTAAAACGGCCACGAGAAAAACCTGGAAAATATTTTTAAGTTTCTGCAATGGCCGCTAGGGGGCGTAACTGCAATGTGGAATCTAAAGTCACTAGATATAGAAAGTACCGCAGTCTAAGACCGCAATCATCCGCCATTTTTGGGCAAATTTGCTGCCAACTTTGATAAATAAAATCTGAATACCTGTCATTTTTTATAACCTAACTTCATAGTACTGTCATGTTTTATAAAAATATCAATGAATAAAGAATACCAGGAAGCAGCATTAATCAAGTGGTATACGAGAGAGAGTGCGACGGAAGTCGGCCATTTGCAAAAGCCACTTAAGAGTCATTTTTGTTGTGGCTGTTGCAGTGACAAAAAAAGGAATGGTTAGTTGTTGTGCTTGTGGTTGCTCCAAAACAGAAAAAAATAAAACTTTGGGAATTACATTTCATGTGTAAGTATTGATACCAATATTATTTTTACATAGTACATGTAAATTTACAAATTTTTTATCGGAATGTAGTTTGAGGTTAGTTAAACAAAAGTCATAGGCGGAGTAGANTATTGTACTGTACAGGGTGGCCAAATAAGAATGCGAGGTACTATATCCGAGAATCTATCCATCGTAGAGGCTTGCGGTAAAAACTGTATTACTAAAACGGCCACGGGCAAAACCTGGAAAATATATTTAAGTTTCTGAAATGACCGCTAGGGGGCGTAACGGCAATCTGGAATCTAAAAAAGTAATGTTTCTGTGAATTTCGCTATATTAACCTAACAAAAAAATATCAGGTCTTTGAAGTTGACGATAATCTGAACAATTTTTCCTGTATCTCTAAAAATGAAGTGGTGGGGGGTATTCAAAGGTTTCCGTAAAGAACACCCTGTATCTTCGAAACAACTGAGCCGATTTTAACAAACTCGGGTTAATTGAAAAGAGTTATTCTTCGGCTACAAATATTATAATATTTGAAGTTTTGTTAGTTTCACATATCGCCGCTTGAGACTCTTTTCGATATTCCGACAGAAATGGTTAATTTTCTCAAAAAAAATTAAATGCATTGGTTCGATTTTTTTTTCATGAAAAAGTGGCTAAAATCTAAATGATGCCTAAACAACCTCGCGAAAACCTCATCTCGATATCTTGTTCCTAACCTAAAATTTAGGCCAAAGAAAATTTTATACCCTCAAAATTTTATTTTTTTAAGCAAATTTTTCCGGAATTGTTTTTATTATATAATTTGTGGCCCTAAATATATATATATATATATATATATATATAACGCGAGTTTGTTTAAATCGGCTTAGCCGTTTCGAAGATACAGGGTGTTCTTTACGGAAACTGTTGAATACCCCCCACCACTTCATTTTTAGAGATACAGGAAAAATTGTTCAGATTATCGTCGACTTCAAAGACCGGACATTTTTTTGTTAGGTTAATTTAGCGGAATTCACAGAAACATCACTTTTTTTAGATTCCAGATTGCAGTTACGCCCCCTAGCGGTCATTTCAGAAACTTAAAAATAGATTTGCTCGTGGCCGTTTTAGTAATAAATTTTTTACCGCAAGCCTCTACGATGGATAGATTTTCAGATGCAGTACCTCGCATTCTTAGTTGGCCACCCTGTACTTGCGTTAAGTTTTTCATATTTGTATTAATTTCTGTCAAAATATAGTCCCGGCCTAGGACACCCCTTTGTTTTTCTTGAAATTGACTCGTCCATCAGTTTGAATTTTAGTTTTTTTTAAATGGCGGAAAATTCTCATTTTATAGAAAATATGCCTTTTCGTGGCCACAGAAAGCTTCCAGCAAAATCTTAGAAAGTTTTAAGACCCCTCACGGACATTCCGCGCTCTATTTAACTCAAACTCGGAAAAAAAGTCTCACTGATGACGTCATCGGTTCATGGTTTAAGGTTTTTTTTTGCAAATTGACGGGCGAAGGTGTGAGGG